ATTATTGTTGTTGTTTGAAAGGAACATGAATTATTTACCCTTTTTCTGCCCACCTGCTAAGGGCAACTTGTGCAGTTGAAGTCCCAAACGTTGGCCTTGGGATTTCATTTCATGTAGAACTTTTGTTTCTAAAGGTGCCCATCACACCCTGCGAGCAGTGGCTGGGCCCTGTACTACAGGCTGGCATAAGAAAATTCAGATTACAATGGGAAAGTATAGTTTCATGAGATGTCTGTGGGGAAATATGCCATCTAAAGGGGTCCTCTTAGATCTACTGAAAGATGATGTTTGCTTATATTAGAAGAAGACGAAGAGACAGAAATGAGGCATCACCTTGAACATCAAGTCCTTTGCAAAAGGCCATAAACAAACACCGGTGCCATTGACGTCAGAAATTGCCAGAACAGTTAGGGTGCTCTAACCTAAAGCAGAACAAGAAAATGCAATCAGTGTCATTTCTGCCCACTGCTCTTTAGCTGAGGAACACAGGCTCTGTCTCAAGAGAAACCCTCCCTCACACTCTGCTGCTACTTAGATAAAGCATTTTACACTAGAGGGTGCGAAAAGAAATGTGAGGGATTCCCGTTTCATAACAGGGAAAGTCATTTGCACCATGTTCTGCAGATGAACAGGCTGTGTGAGTCGACCCCCCTCTAAGAGTCTTGTTCTCTTTCTTAAAGCCCTCTCTTGGGGCAAGCTAAAAGGGACCATGGCAGACATGTGCGCAGTTTCCTCCTCTTTCTCTAAAGGTGTGATGCATCTGACCATCACGGCATGCAAGAAGGTCTCTAGAGCGTTGTTGTACAAGAATTCCAGAGATTTTTTATTTGCTGTGGCCTTTACTGTGGGCTGGGTGTCCTCTTCTAGTTGTCTCTTAGAAAGAAAGTGGAAAACCCTACAGATACTTAAAGCAATGATCACAGGTCCATCCAGGTCACAGCCACACCATTTATTTAAAGCACCATGCGTTTAAAGCACATTTAAAGCACATTGCTTCCCTCAAAGGATCCCGGGAACGTTTACTCCTGACAGAGCTTTTGCTTTGTTTCTTGCTTTGTTTTCTCATCCTGCCTGTAAATAAAATCTTTCTCAAGGAACAGACCCAGTATGCCTCCTGCCTTGTCTGAATCCCAAAATAACCTCTGGTTTAAGTGGAGGTTTTCCAGGTTTTTAAACTGCCTCTTGTCTTAATTACCACTGATCTTTCAGACTAGTTTTCTGATTCTATATTGTATTATTTTGATCCTGTGTAAGCTATCTTGTATTAAAAAAATACAAGATAATAGTGTGTGATGTGAAACCTGGAATGATTTTACAGTTCTTGCTATAGTTTATGGGATTAAGAAGAGGACTTGAATGGTATGAGTCTCATATATTTATCACATGTGTATCCCTCTGTTCACCTAGGGTTACGTGGGGGGGAATTTAAATGCTGGTGCCCAGGGCAAAGAAGGGAGTTGGGATGGAGCAAGGGGGCAGAACCTTGAAGTTTGAGACAGGTATGGTATAGAAGGTAAAAGGTAAAGGACCCCTGGATGGTTAAGTCCAGTCAAAGGCAACTATGGGGTTGCGGCGCTCATCTCGCTTTCAGGCTGAGGGAGTCGGCGCTTGTCCACAGACAGCTTTCTGGGTCATGTGGTCAGCATGACTAAACCGTTTCTGGTGCAACGGGACACCGTGATGGAAACCAGAGCACATAGAAACACCGTTTACCTTCCCACCACAGCAGTACCCATTTATCTACTTGAACTGGCATGCTTTCGAACTGCTGGGTTGGCAGAAGCTAGGACAGAGCAACAGGAGTTCACTCCGTTGCAGGGATTCAAACCATCAACCTTCTGATCGGCAAGCCCAAGAGGCTCAGTGGTTTAGACCACAGCACCACCCACATCCTTATAGAACTATCTATTTGTTTAAGGTGCACAGTCAAAAATAGAAGAAAGAGCCTTGTGACACCTTGATACATTTACTATGGCATAATCTCACTTCACCAGACGCATGAAACGTAATCCTTAGCAGTAATTAGGCATTTGAGGGAGTGTCAGGTGGCAGGCCTACCAGTTATTCAGTAGGGAGAGGAAAGGGCTTTGATGCTGTGTAACTTGCATTCCTGCATCCATAAGAATATGGAGGAACGAAGATTAAAGCATGAAGTGTTGGGTTGAAAGAAGCAGAGGCAGAACTCCTCGTCAATGAAGTGGGGATCTTCAGGAGGCCTGTGTTCCTTGCAAATATGCAAAAAGCAGCCCACACATTTTGTAACTCTGTGCATGCAATTTTCAGGATCATCTGCACATTTTGAAGGTTGGGGCTTTAAATAGCTGTAAAGCAGGGCTTGTTGCTTAGCTGTGTATTGACCTTACTTGCATACTTCTGTTGGGATTACAGAGTTCCTTTTGCCTTTTGCACATTCAGGACAAATAAAGGCTGTTTGAGAGGTTTGTTTGTTTGTTTGTTTGGCAAGCTTTGTAAAAGAAAAAGCCTATGGAGAAAATAAAAGGTGAAATTTGAGTTACTGTGAATCTACAGGACCTTTGTATGTCCATGTGATTGTATGTGTGCTAAGGATTTATGGCTGCGCTTGTGTGTATATGGCCCCCACCTGCTTTCTACACGTTAATATAGCCCTCAGCATGAGAAATGTTCCCCAAGGCTGGTTTGTAGAGTTTACCCAGAGTGTTTAACAGATTTTTGTATGCCACAACTTCAGCGAGGATTTTATTAGCCAAAAATTGGAAATCACAGGAAATACCAACAGTGGAAGATTGGCAGATGAAGATGTTGGACTTTTTGGAGCTGGCCGACCTTACTGGAAGAATCCGTGATCAGAAAGAGGAGGAACATCAAGAAGAATGGAAGAAATTTAAGGAATATTTAGCAAAATATTATAAGTGGAAATACTTGCAAGTACTAAATTTGGCTTAGGATTAAAGTAGGTATGTTGAATTGTATAAGAATATGGATTGAGAATATTATGAAAAGAAAAGAAGTTAGTAAATTGAACAAGTAATTTTATTAGAAAGTGGATATTAGAAAATTGCTAAAATGAGATTTAATGAAAATCAGTTAGGAAGAATTTGAGGAAGTCATTTAATAATGGAGTTTAATTTGGATTTTTACCTGCAAGAAGTTTTGAATGTAGGTTTGTTTTTCTTTTTTATCTGTTTTGTTATTTATTTGTCGTTTGTGTTCTATTTGTTTGGAAAACCAATAAAAAAAATGGAAAAAAACAAAGACAAAAAAACCCCAGTGTTTAACAGAAATGGTAAAAATGTGCCCCTGTATCAGTGGTCGAAATATCCATGCCCCAAACCATTCGTCTATAGACATGTTTTCTGATTTGAACAACAAAAGGGTTAAATGATACAGCACTTCATTTTAAAGGATCGACCATTCTCTGTATATGTATATATGAGCAGAAGGAGATTTTGGAGAAGACCATCTGAGAGGATCTGCTTAGGAAAGGGCAGATCTCCAAGGCTTAGGACCCCGGTTGCTAACTTGCTAAGCAGCACCATACATTTCAAACATCTGCTGAGTCAGTTCCCTAACTTTCCAAAAGGGTATTTAAACAGAAGAAAGACATCTCTCCTAAAATATTTAAAGTCATATGAGCATAAATAAATTAGTCTGCGGCTTGGAAAGATCCTGACATGGTAGACATTAAACTCTAATTAGTTATACTAAAGTCTGCAATGCTTTTGATTAAAAGGTTAGGCCAGCGAAGGAGAGGCAGCTGTTTCAGTGCAATTTTGGCATAGCACAGCAGAACAGATATTATTCTTCCTAAGCACAAGAAGAAAAGTGCATTAAAGAAAGCACATCAATTCATAGCTTAGCTATGACAGAGAGAGATAGGGCAGGCCTTACCTTGCAATACAATCCATTGTTTTCAGGACCATCAAAAGCACCAAGATTTCAGTGTGAAGTATCATGAAAGAGTACATCTCCTGACCTAACTGATATTAAACGTCAATGCTTTCAAAAAATATCTCTGTTGGCATCTTGCCAGGATATAAAAGTGTGTGTTTTAAGCTGCAGTCCTAGACCCACTTATCTGGGAGTAAATCCCATTGAATTCGATGTGGTTTATTCGTGAATAATTTAAGATTTAAGATAGTGCCTCCTGCAAGTTGCTCCTGACCACCTGATCCTGGTAATAATAATAATAATAATAATAATAATAATAATAATAATAATAATAAATGTCAGGCTCTGGGTGGCTAACATCAGATATATAACATTGGTATAAAATTACCTCCTAAAAACAGGTCAAACTCAAGTTGTTTGCTTCTTGAATGTTTGCATGCTTTAAACAGAAATACGAGAAGATCCTTGCTGGATCAGGTTACAGGCCTATCCAGTCCCGTATCCAGTATCCTGTTTGCAACAAACCTGCAAGCAGGACACTAGACCGACAGCATGTTGACACCACCTCTGTCACCAGGGACATGGTGCCAACTGTGATGGCATGAGCAGACCCATCAGACTCAGCCTTTCAGAGAAGGGCCCACTTGCTTGCCCAGTCCCACAGCTTAGGAAGACAACTTGGGGAAGCAAAAGGGAAGCTCAGGGAGTAGGTCAAGTATTGGGACAATTTCTTAGCTTATGCCTAGCCTTGTAGCCTACAGCTGTGACTTCTGAACTGTGTAACCCACAACCTGATCAACACTGGGGTGCTATAGGGAATTCTGGAATGAAGCCTTAATAGTTGAGCTGATTCTACAAGTGAAAGCCAGGACGGGGGTGGGGGGGTGTCATTTGGTTGGCGAGCCAAAATGCTTCCCCTAACAGAACTATCAACATAGCATGACACCAAATTCTACCCAAAGGGTGGTATTCAACTAAGTTTTATATTGTTTCACAACCCCTTTATGGGATACCCTTGTGGATAACTGACTTTAACAACAAAGTCGGGGGTGTACAGGCATCCTTCTTCCAACAAATTCTAGGAGCTCCAAAATGTGTCTCCTATGTGTGCAGAGTTAGGCCAGCATCTCTTAGAACACGGGTGTCAAACACAAGGCCCGCGGGCCGAATCCGGCCCACCAGACCTCGTCATGTGGCCCATGTAGCCGCCGTTCTCGCTGCTGTTCTCGCCCATCATGTGCACCATCGCCTGGTTGTGCGCCGCGTCGCCTTTCAGCACGAAGGAGGTTGTGAGCTCCTCCGCGCGCCCCGGCAGCTGCTGCTGGCGCCATGCTCGGCCTCCGCTGCACCGCCGCCGCCGGGCAGGGATGCGAGTCTGGCAGGCGAGGCGCGGAGGCGGAGGACGGGAGGGAGCGAGCCGAGATGGAGGCTGGATTGTGACTTTCAAATACTGGCCAGAAATTCACTTGAATGCAGACCTGGAAAGTTTGCTAACTTATTTATTGAGAGATACACATAATTTTACATAGTTTTCTGATATTATCCTCAGGCAAATAGGGATTGCAATAGATTCCCTTCTTCTATCGGATGAGTCACAAATCTTCTCATCAAGCAGAGACTGTTAGACCATGAAATCCAAAAACTCTACCTTTTGTACGTTCATCTGCTTACTTAGGATTGCAGCCCCACCATGGTGCAATGCCTAATTTCTTTTATGATTTAGATATTCCATTGCATTGCAGAGCTTTTATGCTAGCTCATCTAAATGCATCCCCCTCATCTGTTTTGTTCAGAAGGTTTCAAAAAATCCCCTTCCAGAACAGATTCTGCTCCTGTTATAAGAAAACACCAGATACAATACATCTCATAATTTTGGACTGCCCTGTTCTCAACACCCTTCACAGAGATCTCCTAGTGACTCCCTTACAGCTTAAAATATCAGTTTACGAAGAGTCTGTAATCCAATATTTGCTGAGGAATGATACTCCCGAAACTACCAAGATTGTTTTGGAGTATTTAGCTGAGAACTTTAAAGCTAAAGTTGCCTGGCTTATTCAATGGTGGCTATCTAGTCTTTTATATACTGTATGTGTTTGGATTATCAACATATTTGGATGATTTTATTGTTTAACCTTATGCCAGTAAAGGCTAATAATAATAAAACAACTTCTATGCAAAGCAACCCACTGAAATTAATGGACCTAACTTAGTCATGTTTGTTAATCTCAGTGAGTCTTCTCCTAGTGAAACGTAATTGAATACCACTCAAAAAATGTCAATGTAGATCCCACACTGATAGATGCCCTTCAAGTATAAATGAATTGCCATGACCTTCTGTTGAGGAACCTTTATATCTCACAGATCAATCTAGATCCAAAATTAATACCCTGCACTAAGTGTTAGGTATTATGGAAAGCTCTGACAGGAATTAATTTTTCTTTTGGTAGCAATTTTATAACGATGAAATGTTTCACTTTGAGTGCTTTCTTTTTTTCAAATAATCCAGGTTGAAATATCACCTCTGGTACTCACTGTTCCTATTTCACACTTCTCAAATTTTCTTGATGAATTTCTTTTAAGTGCTTGTGAATGAATTAATTAGTTAATGCCATGCAGTGCTTTGAAGACATCAGCAGCCATAAAATGCTAAGTATTAACTTCTGGGTATTGAGGAAAGTTGTCTTAAACCTGATTTGCCATGACTAATATGCAGATTATTTTCAACAAAACTTAACTTTGCATGAAAGTACAGGCTGGAAGGCTTCAGTGTCAATCTAATCCACCCACTGAGGCAAGATTCTCTGTACTCCCAAAATTCCTGCATTTAACCCAAATTACAGAATAATGCAGGCGTTGATCATTTTAATTACAGTATGACACAGTTAGAGAACAAGAAAAAAGTATCCATTTCAGCACCAGCCATTTTGCTGGTTTCTTTGTTTCCTTAGGAAACAAATGGACATAAGAACAACCAAATGAAATAAACAACAACATCTCACAGAACCTGAGATATATAGATTTGAAAACTTATTTGAAACCCCCTTCTCCATAGCGTCCTCTCCCTTACCATCTGTTCTTTGTTAAAGTTTGCAAATTGGTTATAATGATCACAGATATTGTCTGTTTATATGTTAATGATTCTGTTATTCTGAGAAATTTGCATTTTGCAAAATTACGTGTGAACATTGGGAGAGACGATTAGTATATATTTTCTAGATTCTAGAGAATGGCTATTCCTTGTTTACAAATGCTATTCGTTTTCAAAAGTTTGAGCACCCGTAGTCTGCCTGTTCTCCTAAGCCACTGACCTTACTCAGTGGTGGCGGGACGAAATATCGGAAAGCACTAATGAGTGATGGTTTCCTACACGAGTCACAGCAGGAATCCAAAAATCCATTCTCCCCTTAACAGTTTTTCTCTGTCTCTGTCTGTCTGTCTGTCTGTCTGTCTCTCTCTCTCTCTCACACACACACATACAGAGAGAGAAAGAGAGAGAGAGAGAGAGAGAGAGAGAGAGAGAGAGAGAGAGAGATTCCAGTGACAGGACACTTTGTTCCTGCTCATGGAAAGCCCATGTTCCACAGGAGCATATTTTGGGAGCCACTAGTGTAAAGTTCTGATACCCTTGCACCCAACCCTGAGTGCAGCATCTCTTAGGACTGAGCAGCAAATGGCATTTTTATGCTAGATATCCCATAAGTTCCCTGTGTATTTTTACATTTTTAAATGCCAAGAATACACTTAAAGTGTAACACACACACACTTCTTTCAGGCATGAAATGCATTACCCAGCATAAGCTCAACAGAAAAAAACACTTTACAATATTCATCTCAGGTGGCACAGAAAGTTAGCTGGCGAATTTTGAACAGCTGAGTCAAGCCAATGTTGATTTATTTATAAACAGAATTTTTTTAAGTGGGGTTGGGGGGAAGAGAACAGGTGCAAGGGATTCAAAATATCTTCTAGAGAGAAGGCGATGATAGCTACATAAAGAAAACTTGCACTTAAAGCTCCTGCCATCTGTCCTCTTTCCTGTTCATACTAGTCTTGCATAATTGGACGATCTTCACTTCCAAGGACCACAGTGCCATTCAGTGAAATCTAAGCATGTATCCAAGTTTATTAGCATTATCTGTTTGAAATCGTATCTATTTGCATATCTGTCATATCATTGCGCTTACTGAATGATCACTTCTTTTCCTTTTATTTTCCAATGTGTCCCCAAACAAGATTGTCTTCACAATTTTTTCCCCTGCAAATCTGAAAACCAGAAAATTAAATGGTTTAAAACACACGCAAAAACAATATAACTGTAATTTAGGAATCTTGAAACAACTATGTAGGACCATCTTGTGCTAGATAAGTGGTGCAAGTATACCCCTGAAAACACCCCTTTTATTAAATTAAATCCTGGGTTCACATGATAGTAAGTCTTCGGATTTACCAATGCTCACATCATATTTTGATAACAGCTTTCTACCTACAACTGCCTGAAGCTGGGTGTTCCTTACTGCTTGGCTCTGATAGACCATAATATATGAGTGGAGAAGAGAAAGCTTGGTCTTTAATTCACCTTGAGATGGAATCTGCAGAATAAAGATATTGCTGGGGACTTCGGGACTACTCTTGCAAATCACATTAAAATGTCATGCAACATGAGGTACATGGCAGCATATCTGAGACCACGTATGTCCATTTTGTTTCTGCTTCTCATTTTTCCAATCTTAAATTCAGTTCCCTACATTTCTGCAGCAGTTTGCGATTATTTTTAAGTCCTCACAAACACGCACCAACATTTTTGTGTGAATTTCCCATGTCACATTTTTGTACGCAGTGTTCACATTCTTGCAAAAAAATGAAATGCATTTTTGTATGGGTTTTTTTTTTGCCCAGTTAATCTGTATGTACACTTTCCTCTAATATATCCATTTTTGCAAACGTGGGTTGGAGAACTGCTTTGCATAATTCGGATAAGTGTGAATTTCTCATATCGTTTTGGGAAAAGCAATTTTTATAGATCTGCCTTTATGTACGAACTGAATTGAATTTCACTCCATCCCTGTTGCACACACACCTCTTTCCATTCCGGCAAGCAAAAGGTATTATCAGAACTCAATGACACATTCCAGTCAGGCAAAAGCTCGTCAGAGCTAATGAGGGATGTGGCCCAAGGACTGGACAGAGAGATCTGGAGGGCCTCATGCAATTCCCTACCCCTAATCTAGAGCAAGGGACACGGGTGGCGCTGTGGGTTAAACCACAGAGCCTAGGATTTGCCGATCAGAAGGTCGGCGGTTTGAATCCCCGCGACAGGGTAAGCTCCCATTGCTCAGTCCCTGCTCCTGCCAACCTAGCAATTCGAAAGCATGTCAAAGTGCAAGTAGATAAATAGGTACCGCTCCGGCAGGAAGGTAAACGGTGTTTCCGTGTGCAGCTCTGGTTTGCCAGAAGCGGCTTAGTCATGCTGGCCACATGACCCGGAAGCTGTATGCCGGCTCCCTTGGCCAATAAAGCGAGATGAGCACTGCAACCCCAGAGTCGGCCACGACTGGACCTAATGGTCAGGGGTCCCTTTACCTTTTTAATCTAGACCAGGGGTCAGCAAACTTTTTCAGCAGGGGGCCAGCCAATTTCCCCACAAACCTTGTATATTTTGGAAAGAAAAAAAATGAACCAATTCCTATGCCCCACAAATAACCCAGAGATGTATTTTAAATAAAAGGACACATTCTACTCATGCAGAAACATGCTGATTCCTGGACCATCCACGGGCTGGATTTAGAAGGTGATTGGGCTGGATCCAGCCCCCGGGCCTTAGTTTGCCTACCCATGATCTAGACAGTTTACCAGTTACTCTTGTGGCCTGTCACAGGGCTGCAGGTAAAACACAGCATATACAAAAAAACCCACATCTTCCCCTAGAAAACTAGAGGTGTCAGGGCGAAAGCATGTCATTTGATTTTCTCCCTAGCATGGCTCATTTTCTGTGTGTAGCGTGATAGTTTCTTCGTTCAGGAGGCATCTGCCTTCCTTTACATGTAGTCCGAAATGGTGCAGCATGAGAAGAATTTTACTATTTGATGAACTGTTTGTCTCCTTGAGGCTTTACCACTCTACTAAGTCTATTTTACCACTCAACAAAAATTCAAGTGCACAAATCTTTTATAAAGAGGACCAGATGGAAACTTCAGCTCAATTATTTTAACTGACGTTTGCATAAGCAAGTATCAGATAGCCGAGACCAATTACATTATTTTAAAAGGCTTATAAAGGCAAAGGCAGGGAAGAAAGGGATTTAATATTATTCAGTGTCACATTACATTTCTGGGAGAGAAATTTGGTTTTTAGGCATTAAGCAGTTTTACTCTGATAGAACTTCATTTGCATAAAAACGTAAGTGTAAAACGGCTTGTCAGCACTTTACAGCAGGGGCAGGGAACTTTTGGCCCTCTATGTGTTGTTGAACTGCAACTCCCATCAGCTCCAGCAAGCATGACCCATGACTAGGGATGGTAGGAGTTGTAGTTCAGCAACCTCTGGAAGGCCAAAGGCTCTCCTGAACGCAGGAGAAAAGAAGGAAAAGCTAAGAAAATCAAAGTTAAATGAGCACAGCCAAAATAAAATTAAACTTAAGTGCTTAACTTTGTTTGGATCATGTTCTAAATATTTACTAATAAATTTGTGACGGTCTGGTATCCCATTATTTCCTTTGCCAATGATGATAACTCAGTTGGAGGACTGTCCCTGACCGTTCTCTGTTTTTGGTCTGATGCTTTGCCTTATATTTCTCCGCACCTGGCAGTCTAAACATAGCCAAGGCAGCTTAAAACCTTGTTCCTTTTCTTACTGTAAAAGAAGCAGATGTGGATGTCTGTTATTGATATAGAAATACACAGGTTTTTATATAATAATCAATTGTTTTTATCCATGAGTTACTCTGGAGTTTCACACCAGCAATGTGCCTTCACCAAAGGGAGGCAATGGGGAGCAGTCAGTACTTTCTGGTTCCTTAGACAGGCAGGACAGCAAGGCAGGGCAAGACAAAAGTCAGAACCATGGACAGAGATCAAGGTGTGCCTCTAGCACCATGGACAGTGCTCCTGAAGCTGAAGTGAAACATCCCATTGTCTCAGATCCTGGAGCAACTGGCTGAGTTTCATAGCAGGCATAGCCAGTCATTCACTGCCTCCTAACCATTTCTGGTGCCTTCTTCTGCAACTGTTGACTCCTTTGAGGTATTAGGGTTTTCAGAGCTTGGATCTCTCCTCAGGGAGAGTCTGTGGACTGGCCTTCAATCTGGCAGCAGAGGTGACACCTTAGGGCTCAGCGGAGGAGAATAAAGCCCCAATGTCCAGAGATACACGTGGACTAGACCAGGGCATGGAACCATCACCTTCAATTAAAAAGTTTTCATTTCAGTTGCTATTATGGATATGAATGGATAGCCAGGTTCTCTTACCTTCTTGGTAGCTCTGTACATAGCAAAAGACTCCACATCTATGCACAATAGAGAATGGGTTTATCTCTCGCGGACATTTTAAAAAAACATTTCTATTGAGTCTCTGCATACTAAAAATACACCCTTTGGCTTTTGGCTTTTATGCATGCATTGGCCCTCTCAATGGACTTGATTCTCATACAGGGCTCAGAACCTAGATTCAGTTTGCAGTGCCCTCCAGTGTGTAAAACAAATGCCTTGAAACATGTACATTTCTTCACATTCAAGCTTTAACCCAGAATGTGTTGATTTAGGAGCTCTAGCATTTTCCAGAAATGAATTGTTAGGGTTTTTGGCCTGCAATGCGGCTCTGACCATTTTACACACTATCATGGTCACACTTTTTCAAATATCACTCTCTTGAGTTTAGTTTTCTCATATTGCGATTTAATTTTTACACAGGCATAAGCCTTTCTCACATGGCCATGATCAATATCCCTGTGTAAAAGTAGTTTGCACAGAACTCAGGGATATTGTGCTGTAATTTTCACCTGTTGGGAAGAATCCGTATCCTGGGAAAGCGACATCTATGCCCTGAGATTTAAAGAAATCACTATGAGACCTCTTACTGCAATCTCTCTTTGACATATTTCATACAGAGTTTTTCCTGTCGTGGTAGGTGGCAGGTTCAGTCTTGTTAAAAAGCGGCATGAGATAAGCTCTTGGAAATCAATTAAATTGTGATTTTCTATGGAGCAATGTAGACCTCTCCTGCTCGATTGCTTGTTCTGCTCTGTCCCTATCAGATCAGCTTGAAGTGGTTTCTAGTGACTTTGCACGAGATGCTAGAATAAAATGTCTGCATATATAAATAACTGATTTGCCTCCTTGCTGTGCTGTTATCAGGTATGTAAATGTATGTCATATTCAGCTATTTGAGCAAACAGGTCGCATCATTTCAATCTCGCTGAATTACAGGTAAATAATGTCTGGACAGCATACTAAACCAAACCATGCCTTAGTGCAAACAAGCAGGTTCTCAAACTGCCAATCATGGCCATAGCACTTTCCCCACAATCTTGCTGCTGCCTTAGCATCACATCTGAATGGGGGCTTGCGGTTTGTCTGGGGGAGACGAGCCTGGGTTCAGGTGTATTATTATTGCTATTATTCATTTCATTTCTAGACCACTTAATATTTTAGAGGAAAAAATCACGAAGCAGTTTAAGGTAAAGGTAAAGGGACCCCTGACCATTAGGTCCAGTCGTGGCCGACTCTGAGGTTGCGGCGCTCATCTCGCTTTATTGGCCGAGGGAGCCGGCGTACAGCTTCCGGGTCATGTGGCCAGCATGACTAAGCCGCTTCTGGCGAACCTGAGCAGCGCACGGAAACGCCGTTTACCTTCCTGCCGGAGCGGTACCTATTTATCTACTTGCACTTTGACTTGCTTTTGAACTGCTAGGTTGGCAGGAGCAGGGACCGAGCAACGGGAGCTCACCCCGTTGCGGGGATTAGAACCGCCGACCTTCCGATCAGCAAGTCCTAGGCTCTGTGGTTTAACCCAACACATTAAAACATTGAATACAGCAATCCAGAATAAAACATTACTGAAGAAAATCAGATATAAATATACCCTCAAAGCGACATACTTTAAAGGAAACTAAAATATTATCTTAAAGATTTCAAAATGAAACATTACAAAGGAGGTAAACTACTGAATGCACACTTAACGCAGAAAAGTTAAGAAAAAAATCTTTAAAACATTTAAAAGGATCCTGGGAACGTTAGTTTGTTGATGGGGCTGGGAATTGTAGCTCCGAGGGGGAAAGTACACTTCCCATTATTCTTTGGGAGAAGTCATGTCCTTTAAATGTGTGTTGTATATGCTTTCAGTGTTTGGTATGGCTCTGCCCTTAGTTGCTTTCAGTGAATAATGAATTACTGAAATATGTCACTCTGAAAGACTGAATATTTCGTAGTCTCTTACTGCCACCTTATGTGATTTCTTGCCATTGCATATAATGAACTTTATTTCCCCATCCTAGTCAGTTGTTTTTAGGGTGACCAGATAAGTGACAGGACAGGTCTTCTGTACTGTGGCACAAACGGTCAGTGTCTGGTTGTTAGCCAGAAGGTTGGTGGTTTGAGCCCACCCAGGGAAGGACGTGGGCTGGACTCCTGCACTTCAGGCAATCGGAGTAGATGACCCTTGGGGTCCCTTCCAATTCTACAATTTAAGAGAGAATTACAGCAGCTGCATCTTTTCTCAAAACGTATCGCAGTATGACACAATAGCCTGTTTCTTCTCCATAGCTATTAAAGATACAAGAGCTTTCCTGTTGCATGCAGTGACACTAGCCACCTTCTCAAACAAGGTGAGTTGAAGATATATATGATACTGGAAGATTCTCGTCTTCCAAATTTACAGTGCCCAACTTCTGTCCTCTCTATTCTTCTGGGAGGAGTGCAAGCACCAGAGGTATACTTTGTCCTTTGTGGACAGTCAGACTCAAAAGTAAATTCAAAGCACATAGACACAATAAAATCACAGTTGTGGAGCACATTATGCACAAGATTCAAAATAAAATGCATCAATATCTGACTATCATACCACTTCTGAAATCGTTTTCACTGTATAAGGGAAACTGTAAGTGATATTTTTACAGAAATTTAAAAGTTTAGTTGACCAGAGAAGACTAAGTTTCTATTTGCTCCTAATTCACAAGTTAGCAGGTATGGCATTTGATAAAATCAGTGCTCTTGAGGGGAATACCTTTTAAAATAATAAAATTCATTTCAGACTTCAATAATTGACTTAATGCTTTTGTTAAGAAATTGCTAGCATAGTTAACTGGCCTGGCTAAATAAGTAAACTTGCATATGCAATATTAACTGCTGTTTCAGCATATGCAATCGGTATGTAGGGTTCATCCAGACTGCGATTTTCCCCCCAGATATATTCTACAAGTTGTTATTGATACAATAATAGTGCATTAGTGGTGGATTTATTCGGGACTGCCAGCACTTAATTCCACTTCATTAGTTCCGATATGCTCTTCCAATGCACTATAGCACAAAAAAGTGCGACAAAACAAACACCCTGGGATTTTTTTTGGGGGGGGGGGCGAGGATGAGTTTTAGCAGGAAGCTACAGGACACGCACTTATTAGAATGAAGCAGTATGTTTATCTCAAAACTTTTGCATGTGCCAACAGTACTGAAAGCCGGATTGTGTGTAACCACCCCAATAATATTGTGAACACAATGCACAATGAATTGCACAATAAAATGATTTATTTAGAAATTATTTATTGAACAATGCACAATAAAATAATTTATTTTAGTGCACTAACGTAAATTAAAAAAATTAAATCACTGAAACCTTTGGGTACTTTTTAAATGATATATTTTAAAAAGATTTTTATACTTTGAATTTGTATTTACTAAGCTATATAGCAATCTAATACATGCCCTTAGCCTGGGATCTAATGTGTGCAGTGGTAAAAATCACAAATTATTCCCTCTATCTGCAACAACCCTTTTTGGTAAGTATGCCGAGAAGCAAATTTTCAGCCAAAGGTCTTTTGATAAGAATAAAGTGAAAATAAAATCCATTTGCCTGTGGTGATTCATAGTAATTAAAGCTGAAAGCACAACAAAGCTCAGGTCCTCAGTATAAAAAGTCAACAAAGCTTCACATTCAGGGCATCTCTGCAATTGCAATCTTGTTATTATTTCCAAACAATCACAAACTAGCTCATTTTTTCTTTAATATGCTGGTCACAAGCATTCTCAGGCATTTTCTTATCCCCAAAGCAAAACTCAGGTCAGATTTGTATTGATTTTTCTGAAATGAACTACAATCTCTTCTTCTTAAACACACTTCAGTGATCACTCTAAATGACAGTGCAATCAAATGAGCACTGCACATTGGATAAGCATTCTCCTTGTCTGTCTGTAGCATGAGTGACTGCTGGATCTGCTACTAGAATCACCAGAGTCAGGTGTTTCAAATTTGCCCTCAACAGCAAAATCTGGTCATTAATTGAGATGTATATGTGTATTTCTAAATCACCAGACAGCTCAGCTGAATGGAGGTGTTGAAGAAATGGGAGAGATTACTTTCCATTAGTAAAAGCTTCCCAATGCACATGCCCAACAAAATCATCCTACAGGTCCTACATTCAACTGATGCATAATGCAAGACTGACGTGAGGCCCTCTCTTCCACCACAAATTGATTTGAGGAGAAACTGCGCAAACCAGGTTTCTGTGGGTTTAACTAGCAAGGAGAGCTTTATTAGACTGCACTTGTGCTCATTTATTATTATTAATAATAATAATTGCATCTTATATCCATTCTTCCTCCTGCTGGAGCCGATGCTTACGTTTAGGATCTGCTTGTAAAACCAACTTGAAAATATGCTTTTTCAAATTGTGTAAAAAAAAGATTCTAACAGAAGAGTCCTAAACACATCTTTGTAGAAGTCCTCTTGAAGTCAGTGGGATTCACTCTCAGGTATGTGGGGTTAGGACTAGAGCCTAATTCAGTTCTTTAAGATAGGGGTTATGGAATCACAGAAATTTACACCCAGTGATGGTGATGATGATGATGATTTATACCCCGCCCATCTGGCTGGATTTCCCCAGGCACTCTGGGTGGCTACCAGCAGAATATTTAAAATACGATAAAAAAAATCAAACATTAAAAACTTCCCTAAACAGGGCTGCCTTCAGATGTCTTTTAAAAGTCAGATAGCTGTTTATTTCCTTGACATCTGATGGGAGGGCATTCCACAGGGCAGGCACCACTACCGAGAAGGACCTCTGCCTGGATCCCTGTAACCTCACTTCTCGTAGGGAGGGAATCACCAGAAGGTCCTCGGAGCTGCACCTAAATGAAGTGACTGAGTTTTTACAGTGGGACCTCGGGTTACGTACTTAATTCATTCCGGAGGTCTGTTCTTAACCTGAAACTGTTCTTAACCTGAAGCACTTTAGCTAATGGGGCCTCCTGCTGCCACTGTGCCGCCGGAGCCAAATTTCTGTTCTCATCCTGAAGCAAAGTTCTTAACCCGAGGTACTATTTCTGGGTTAGCGGAGTCTGTAATCTGAAGCGTATGTAACCCGAGGTACCACTGTATTTCAGTTCACTCCATGTGAAAATACAGAGATGGTTTAATCTTATGCGTAACAAGCCTCATACAGTTAGACGTGCTTTTCCAGCACGTAAGCAAACATGCCTTGCTTTTGCTTGGTATTTTCATTTCTAAAACGTCGCCAAAGAAGTTCAAGATGTGAAAGGGTGCATGTGCAGGTGAGTTTTCTCCCGTGTTGCTTTCCTTGGAATCGAGCTAACGCTGCTTGGAGAGAAAACTACCAACTTATTCTCTAAGGACACTTCACGTAGAGAGAGAGAGAGAATTAAAAAACTCGATTTAGCTGCTTAAGGGAACTCGCAGCTTCGAAGCGCCCAAGCTCCGAGCGCTCAAACTGAACAGGGCAGCGGCTTCCCTCGGCGAAACAAAGCAGCGCACCTCGGCGGGCGTCACGAGAACGGGAAGACGGCGCTACGAACCCTGGGACGCCGCGCTCCCAAGCGCCGAGGTGCGCCTCTCCCGACAGGGGGACGCCGGATAGGCCACGTGACGCGGCCGCTTCCAGAACTACATCCCCCGTGATGCTTTGGGCGCTGAGGGCTCCGTTGCCATGACGCCTTAGCGGTCTCCTTTCTCCAACTCCCTCGGGATGCCGTTACCGCCGCTTTCTCCAGCCCGGGTGTTTGCCGAGCTGGTCCCTCCGCCCGCCGGGGGGGACAACAGCCGGGAGAATGAAGTCCCGAGGCCGCCGGGGAGGGAAGTTCACGTCAGCGGCACCTCGGAGCTCAGCGCTAGGCCGGACCGGGCGAAAGTCACCGTTTACCTGAAGAGCAAGAAAGGAGAGGCCGGAGCGGCGCGGAGCAGCGTCACTCGGAGGCTGGATTATGTCGCCCAGAGCGCCCGGCAGCGCGGAGGAATCTCGGTGGGTAGAGGGTGAGAAGGAGAGCCGACCCACCTCTCGCGCATGCGCGCAGCTCAATGGCTTTCTCTGTGGCTACACCACATCATCACATCTTCTGCGCCGGAAAAGCTTTCGCTCTTATAGTTTGGTGGGAGGGGTGGGCCGCTTGTACCCCTAGAGATATCCTCAACACCACTGATCTGATGGAAGCCGAGCTGCATCATGTGGAGGGGCAGTGGTTCCACACCATGCCATTAGGAGAAGCATTCAAACCGCAGTGGAATGATTAGACTAGAGAGGAAACCCTTGGCTACAAGCCCAAGTTTACTGTGTCTTTCCTGATTGTGTATTTGCTGCATTTCCATCCTGCCCTGCTGTCAGTGAACTTAAGGCTGCACACAGGTTGCTTAGATGGCAACCAGGTTTTAAAAATTGCTCTCTGTATTCAATGCAACAAGATATATTTACGGAGTAACAGGCTGGATGACAAATGATTTCATGCTCTACTTAGGTTGGGTTAACAGTCCAGAGTAGTATTTGATACAGTAATTGTGGGTGAAGACAAGATTTACTCATCTATGCTAAACTGGATTTTTTATTTTTACCTTGAAATAGTGTACCATGAACTCTGCTGCGTTGCTTAGTACTAGTTAAGCAACCATAATTTCATTGAAAAGCATTCTCTTCCTTACTTTTGTACTTAAAGCTGTTTTTTTTCCCTAGGAGAACGACATGACTGTGACAAAGAACTTTAGTAGAATAGACAATGTGTATAAGATGGAAGCAGAGGCAAGTGTCTTAAGTAAGAGTATTGGTCATATGTCTCAAATACCATTTTTTAATATATATCTTGAGCATTAAGCAAGAAATGTGAAACTAAGTCCTAATATGCTTTTCTGCTCAAGGGTGAAAATGGTTCCACACCCATGCATTACAGTATTACAGCTTGTGGCTATTTACAATCTTTTTTGCCATCCCACTCCTGAAATATTTTCCTGCAATACCATCTTAATAGCCTTACAAAACTATGTCAGCATCACAGCACGCTTGATAATGAGATACTGGTGTAGTTATTTATGGAAGCAGAAATTGAAACATCTACCAAATTTACAATCCAGTCCTCAAAACATTCATATTGAAACTAAGAAAAGCTTTCTTTATGTGAATTGTGTTTAGAATTGCAGCCTTGGATCTAGGCTTCAATCCCATACATGCTTATCTGGAAGTCTTATTGAACAGAGTGTACGGTAGTAAAAACCTGGACACCCCAAAAGTTATTGAGCTCTTTTTTTTTTTAGGAAGGCCCAAAAGTTTGCTTTTTTAACGGACGCCACTGAAATTGTTGAGCTTTTTACAAAAACACCAAGACGTCAATTCCAGACGTATGACAGCCCTAACACAACGGGACTTCTCATGCACTGTTCACTGTTTACTTCTAAGGCAGTTCTGTAGCATAGGTACTTGGAAGTTACTGTACAGAGGTAGCATATAAATGAAAGTATAATCTAATTTAGCTTTGTACAAAATGCATATTATAATTGATTTTGTATTATTCATCTTTAGCCAATTTTTAGCTAAGGCACTGAAAAGGCTTACAAATTTTTACATTCCCATATAGGTCTGCATTACATTCAGTGATTTCGGCAAAATGCAAGACGTCTGTAACTTCCTTGTTGAGAAGCTAGGTAGCTCTGTTATCATCAGCCCACCTCACTTTTACCATACAGTGGAGGCTGTAGATGCCCTTCGGTAAGTTATGTCTTCCTCCTTTTACCAGAAAGTTAGGGCTCACTAGCTTGATTTACCAGTGCCATGCCTCTGGGAATCTGTTCTCTAATAAGTAGCCAAAGCTTCTATTTTGTTGACCAGTCCAAGAAAACAGCTGATGGAATACACATGTTCGTATAGATATGGCTCCTACATAATAGTAAACCATCATTAAAATAAATGAGGGTTTAAAATGAATGTGCTAGTGCATACAGTTGGAAACGGCAGGTGTTTTACTTTTGTCCCGTTGCTGGAAAGCAAGCTGTATTATGTAAGAATCCAAGCTCATCTTTTGTTTTCCCCAAATAAACCATGAACAGTAAACCAAGAACAAACCTTGATTGCTACTTGTGACTTGGAGAGAAGCAGACCAGAAGCACTAAGCCAAGCGCCATGGCAGGAGCAAATCCCCCATGAAAGAGGTTGATATAATATTAAAGTAGACAAAAAAGCGAAACAAGGCTCCATATTCTTCTGAAGGTTCTAAATTGGAATGTATCATTAAGATGACAAATCATTCAGTCAAGCACCCCAGTGCTGGTACATGAATAACCGTGAAATCTGGTAGAGTCATACCTCGGGTTGCGAACACTGTGGGTTGCATGTTTTCGAGTTACAGACCACGGCAAACCCGGAAGTACCAGAACGGGTTACTTCCAGGTTTCGGCGCATGCGCAGAAGCACTAAATCACGCTTTACACATGGGCAGAAGTGCCAAATCACATCACGCGCATGCGCAGATGGGACACTGCGGGTTGCAAACGTGCCTCCCACACAGATCACGTTCACAACCCGAGGTTCCACTGTACTCCCAGTAAAGTGGGAACAGGATTGCAGCCTATGAGGAGGAGAAAGCCAGCCTAAGAAGAGATGAATGAAAATAAATGCAATCACATATATTTTGGCTTAATGTCAGAGTTTTGCCTGTCTGGTATGGAAAGGTTGAAATGACAGTGCATGTATATAATAACACCACTTAAGTGTATATATAGGCCTTGATTCAGATCTGAAGCATAAAGAACTATTAAACTGTTGAACTGCAGCAGCAGGGTCTGTGAAAGCATGCAGTTGGGAACACTTTCAAAGAGTGAATATAGATCAATGGTATCAAAGGGTAGGGCAGCTAACTTTTCATGCAAAACTAACACAAAAGTTAAATGTTGCCTGTGGAAGAAAAATACTTTTCCATTAGTTTGTTACATGTTTATTAATGGTTAACATATCAGAACATGGGAGATCCCACCATCAGCATGCACCTCACTCTGGACACAATGAGCTGGTTTTTGCTCTTTGCTCTGAAAAGAAAAGACAAATTAACTCTGTTCTGTGTGATATTGGAACTTTATTTGCCTTTCTCAGCCTTTGACAAACTTACCTTGGATTTCCAATCTGACATGTGTGTTGTTGTTTTTCACAACAATGTAAACTGGTGGAGTGGGGGAAGGGGGTTAATTTAGTTGTTTAAGTTGCATAAATTTTAAATGTCATAAAATGGGGGAGGGGATAACATCGCTGAATATATAGAGGCTGAAATCCTACACTGATACCTGGAATTAATCTCAATGAACTCAAACTAACATACTTTTGGGTAGACCTGTATAGGATTGTACTGTTAGTTGCTTTGTGAAGGTCTTTCTCATTGAAAAGCAGAGTATACAGTGCTCAAAAGTAGGTACTACATTGGTTAACGCTTTTAATTGACACACTCCCTTTTTGTTGCTTTAATTAGCTAAATCTTCTCATTTGTCTTTGTTTTTTTTGCAGACGTCAGGTTTGTCTTGCTGCTGTTGGGAGTGCCCGGCAAAAAGCTCAAGAAGTTTGCCAGTTGCTTGGCCAGCCCCTTGGGAAGCCTTTGCTAATAAGGGAAGAGGAAGTGAAAGAGTGGGAGGGCCACCTCGAAAATCACTCGGCCGATGCCCCAGACTCACTGGGTTTGCAGCAGAGACTCCAGAGTGCCACCATCTATGTTTCCTCAAGGGTATATGCTGTTTTTGAAATAAAGGGGGAAAGGAAGAGAAAACAAGCAGCTCACATAAATGTAAACTGATTTATTACTGAAGTCCGGAATCATTGTGTTTTCCTTTGGGAAGAACATTATTCTTAGGAAGCTTAACTAGCTTTTCCTTAATCAAAATGTTAAAGTGACTCTGACGTTTGTTCACTTTTTAAACGATTCCATGAAATTGTAGCACAGGTTGTAATTCTCTGGACTTGGACGCAAGCTGTGGCTTGGATCCCAATTTACGTTTCATTTCTTGGAAGAAAACTTCGTGTTCATAGAAGACACTTTCCATTATCAGCAGCTCCTTCCATGAATAAAACAAACTTTGGAATCAACCTAGTGAATGCTTGTGATAGCCATAGATACAAGTACATTTTTAATATACTGTTTAGAATAATTCTTAATGGCTGATGACAGAAACCAGTTTTTTTCAGTGTTTTACACTGGACAAATTGCATTTGGTGAAATGCCACATTGTCAGTGTAGTTCAAGAAATCTCTGTTGAGAGTAGTTTTATCAGGGGAGAAATTCCTTGGATGCCAGAAGCCCCTGGCCTTCAAATATAAGGATGTGCATTTACTGTCTGACATGAGAAATTTCTCAAATATAACCAGTCTGAGTTAAGAAATTATGAATAAGAGACGGAAATACTGTAAAACTGCATTGTTGCTGAAAAACTTGCTAATTTTTGGGTGTTGGTGGTGAGACTAGGCAAGGTGTTGAGTGATTTCTGCTTGAATAGTTTCACAGATTAAGGAATGCAGTTTCAACAAAAAGGATAGAACTTACAACTCTGCCTATAGTTTCTTAATCTCCAGTTTAATAAAATTCTAACTTTCCAACCTGTATGAACTATTCACTCTTTGTATTTCATCTGCAGTTTGCTATTTTTGTGGAATTTATTCTGGCTTTGCTAATGTAAGGAAGCAAGGTTATGGGGGCGGGGCAGCTTTTCCTAACAAGGAAATAATGCAGATGTTTTTCATTCTCCTAGCCCAACACAATGTCCATTTTATATTATAGTATATTATCATACCTGCCTATGCACCTGTTAAGAATAAGTGCCTTCAGAAAGAAAGTTGATCACACATCTCTGGATAATAGAATTTGTAAGGCTGTCTCACACATGTAGTGATGGTAGTAAAATTTACCAGTTCCATTAGAGCATTTGTGTTAAGAAACTAAGTTACTCTTGTTGCCAATCAATATCCTTTATATTTAAGTCATTAAGGTTGCAGTCCTGTAGAAACTTACCTGGGACTAAGACTCGTTGAACTTGATGGGGCTTATTTTTGGGTCAACGTAGGATTGCAGTATGGTGAAAGTTTTTAGACACAACTTGTGTACTTCACACATTTATATTAGTTTAATAACAAAAGCAAAGCAGCTTAGAAAAACGAGTTTTCTATTTATTTAAAAATAGGTTTGTAGTTACTACATTGCAGTGACAGTAATTCATACACATACATTCTAGTTTGTATAAAAGGATTCCAAGTATTATTCATCAAAACCAACGTAAGTGTTTCACATAACAATAAAAGTTTCGATCAATATGTACAAAAAGAAAGGGCACTGTTCATCCAGGTGTGAGACTGCACTTTATAACTTGATAAAGCAGAAGAGAAAGAAAATAACCTTGATAAAACCTAAACTTGTAAAACTGTATGTTGGTTACATGAACATTTTTGGGATTTACACCATACTGTACAAAGTAAGCAAAGCTTTAAAATGTGTCAGTTTCAAAATTAGATGTTCCAGACAATTTCCTTAAGTTACACTACATTATATGTTTCAACATTAAGTGGCAAGATTTAAGGTATTCACTCAATAACTTTCTTTTCAATTTTTGCAGTGTAATGGTCCAAAAATGTAACTTCAAAATGTGTGTCAATAGCCTATCCTTTTTAAAACATGCATCTGAGATAAATATACCATGTTAAATGTCTTATGTGAAAGTGTAGAAATTTGGTGCTGTATCTTTAAAGGTGTAGTCATTTCCAGCACTAATTATATCATGAACAAAAATTTATACCATATCCTGAAGCAATTATCTGCATTTATTTAAAATTCAAATATTCAGCATTTGGCTCCCTTTTTGGTATCAAAAGAAAAATGATTTTTCATATAAATAGCTCCTTAAATTATTTACCCTTTAAATAAGGCAAATTTGGGGTTTGGTCTTTATAACAGCAAATATTATGCTATTTCCATCTTCAAAATGCCATCTCACATCTACGGTACTTTAACAAAAAATATCCTGAAATAAATGTAACCTTCCTGAAACAGAGGGTGCCTTTTATTCCAAAATGTTGTGAACTAAATGGGAAAATGAGAGCAACAAAATAATTTTCTGCTTCACCATTATTCCAAGAGTAATTATGTAAAGTTAGCACATTAAAAAAAAAACACAATACCAGATTTTGTTATATTAGAAATAATTTTCAGACTTGGCCACTATATATGAAATGTACACCTTTTTTGAATTATAAACATATGTACATTATTTACAGCAGAAACTGGACAGCCCTTTTATTAGATGAATGCTTAGGTCCAAGAACATGAAATGCAAGATTGATACATCAAAATTTACAACAAGGCTCAATCCAGTCGGTCCCTTACACACACTAGGACACAGCTGTCCCACAAGTGCACCTCTCCAGTTGTGGGAAGTCTGATGGCCGGTGTGGGTGAGATGGATGGCAGGAAACTCCTGCATGCCCTGAGGATGCAAGGCACGACTGGATTGTGGCCTTAAGCTTTCATTAAATAGACCACCAGGAGCTCTTGCTTCAAAGAAAAGGATCCAGATTCTTCAGCACAGTAGGATCAGCTCTATGCAGAAATCAACACACTTAAGAGCTGTGTGTATGGAGTTCTGGTTGGGGTCTTAATATCACTTTAGATGTACTAAAGCTCATGAAACTGAAAGCTCAAATTGGTATTTCACAAAGAGTCGTAACACAGCACATGACTTATGTACTGAAACTATGTCCCCATTCATTTTTAAACGTTGAGAAGTACTACATGCTTTTGAATCGGTATTTTACAAAGATCAGTCCAAACTAAGATAAAGTATTAAACAACTGAATTAACCACAAATGGAAAAAATTGACAGTATGGTACGAATAATTTTGTGCAAGTTTACATCACAACAGTACTATAGGAAGACAGGTTTTGTAAAGCTGCATCGCTACTCATACCACAATGATAAAGATCATTTCTTCAGTACCCAGTATTATACCAATGTAATTCAAGCTTAATCCCTGGGAAACAATTAAATTTCAAACCCGCTTAGCCAAACAAGGGATTGATTACTGGAGTGAAAATGAACTTATTTCCCAATCAAAGAAAATGGAATGTGTTGCTATCAGACATCGCTGTATAGTAACCACTGGTTAATATTGAAGTAATTTAATGTTCAGCATTATGGAACTAATGGACCGCTCTGTATCAGAAGCTGTATTCAGTAGACTGCATTTTACATTTGTTTTCATTACTGCCAAGTTTGTAAGATAATTGCTTGTGTGAATATCTGTAATTACCAACAGAAAGAGTATCTACATAGTATTTTCCATGTAAATGTGCCATAAAATAAATATTACTTTGCTCTCAATAGTTTTATCCATAACACATTTCATTATGGTTTCTCCCTCCAAAAGTTAGTGAACCAGTATTTATTGCTTATATTAAAATGTGCTAAATCAAAAGCTCTTCTGTGTTGGTACAATAAATTTTTTGCAAATCGGTCAAATCTAACCAATGACAGTAATTTAAGTCAAACCAATGCAATTTACAGCACTTATATAGTATATTTAGCACAATTACAGTTTTAAGTGTTTCTACACAAATGTATTACCAAAATAATGTTAGAAAAAAATAAGCTTGTGAATTCTTAGTACAAAATTATTCATGAATGGGGAACAATACATTTGTGTACTGCAAATAAGACTTCGATTCTTTTGTTCTGAAATGTGTAATTTTCAGACACTATGATGGTGATGTGTACTATTCCATTCTCCAACGTTACATACACATACTTGATGTATACAAGTATATACATAAATATATGCCAAGTGGGACATAGTTATAAATGGAGTAACTTACAGCAATGGGGTTTCATGTTTGCTTTGCCAATTTCTTTTATATAACAATGCAGATAACAAAAGGAAATCACACATTTGAAATTGATTGCCTTCATCAACAGTGAAATTCTTAAATGGACAAGATAAATCTACTGTAATGCTTCCATTGTGAAATGAACTATCACTGTACATAGGCTGCTGAAATATTTTCATGTTTAATGTCTGCAATATTAGTAAGAATGCATGTTTAAAAACATAAGTCAGTGTCCCAAATCCCATAATTATAATATACTAATGAAAATAGGTATCCAAGGAGGACTAGTGCCAGTAGAATTTATTATTCTACTGTAAATCATGATTTGGCAAATACTCTTAGTTGAAGATATTTTCTTAAAAGCCAAACCAATATGGGTTATTTAGAGGAGATGGTGATGGCAACTAACTAACCAACCAAAACAGAATCTTCCCTGCCTCCAAACATTCTAAACTGGCCTGATCATAACGTCGATTAGTCTACTTCAAATAAAAGTGAATTATCTTGATGTTTATGAGTATTTGTGATAAAATCAGAAATGCATTTTAAGAACCAACTGCCATGGACACAAATGGATAAAAGATGCATATTAATCTTGAACCTCATACACCATCCACTGCGAGCAACATATGTGCACTAATTGAGTATCGTGTTGCATACATAGCTGTGTTGCATACATAGTTCCTGAAGTTGCTTCCACCTGCAGTCCTCAAACCCGGACTGGAAACTACATATTAACACAGACTGTCAATGTTGCCAACATGGTAGACACACACAAAACGTAAGATAATTGGTGCCGTCAACCTAGCTGTTTGGAGGGTAAGGATCTGAATATAACCTCCCATGCTTCCACTGGTCGTGGGGGGGAGGAGAATGTTAAAGGGGCTGCTTTTCCACCTCTCCAAATTATTGGCTCTACCATGTTGGCAAAACACAGCTAAACCTTCGGTTACGTGAATACTGGTAACAACACACACAAAACGTCAGGCTGTTTGTGGCTATGCAACTTCTTTTTCAAAATCAATTCAACATGTAATATAAAATATCACAAGATGCAATTCCATAAATCAAGAGAATATATTCTGATAAAGTCCAATGGATGGTCAGGAGAGACAGTCCATTCAGTTGTTAATTTGGCAAACAGGAAATAACCACGGCACGGTATGCTTAACCTGTGGCGTTCCACACCTCGCTACTTTGAGGATTCTAGCGTTCTAGTGTTCCTTACATGTAGGTATCAGATGGAAAGCTTGAAAGTATGGAACGAAGGATTCCGGGATAATACCTTGTTTCGCCCCATCAAGCTTTGTCAGCCGTGAATACTCATAACTCTACCTATTATGTTCCATGTTTTTGGCACACAAGAATATGAATATGCACGGCTGACGAAGCCAGATTGGGCGAAACAAGGTATTATCCCGGAATCCTTATCGTGCCATACTTTCAAGCTTTCCATCTGATATCTACATGTAAGAAGCACTAGAACGCTAGAATCCTCAAAGCAGCGAGATGTGGAACACCACAGGATAAGCATACCATATCGTGGTTATTGCCTGTTTGCCAAATTAATAACTGAATGGACTGTCTCTCCTGACCATCCACTGGACTTTAATTTATCATAATATGTTCTGTTGATTTATGGAATTACACGTTGTGATATTGTATATTACATGTTGAATTGTTTTTGAAAAAGAAGTTACATAGTCACAAACAGCCTGACGTTTTGTGTGTGTTGTTACCAGTATTATATTCACGTAACCGAAGGTTTAGCTGTGTTTTGTCAACATGGTAGAGCCAATAATCTGTTTGGAGAGGTGGAAAAGCAGCCCCTTTAACATTCTCCTCCCCCCCACCAGTGGAAGCATGGGAGGTTATATTCAGATCCTTACCCTCCAAACAGCTAGGCTGCCGGCAGCAGTTATCTTCTGAACAGGTATGTATACATCTGCATCTCTAGATTGAGGCTTACTTCTCCCAATGGGTGTTAAATGCAAAGTGTGGTTACATTTTTGTACCATGCAACTGTTTAAAGATGTATTTTGTCTTCTTTTAAACTGGACTATACTTTCAAACAATAGAAATTGTATTAAAGTTTGTTTTAATACAAACTTTGTTTTAAAGGTATAAAATAAGTAAATGTACCATAAACAAATAAATAACTGTTTCTTTTTCCATAGCAGTACATACAGCAATACATTCCCCTAAGTCATATAGTCATTTACAATAGACAACTTAAGTTTACTAAAGATGCACAAAATAATAGACTACAAGGCACAATCATTAAGTGGGATTTTCCTTTAGGGTGTATATATTGACTTATGTCAGCTTGATAAGTACACTGTAAAAAGTGCAGAAAAACAATGTGCAATGAGAACACTGTATAAAACATGATTGCATAAAAAGTGATTTGGCCTTTTTACCTTTAATAATTGAAAATAACCAATCTTCCCCTTAAAATAAAAGTATGACATTTTAAAATTTTATCTAGTATTATCTAAAAAGTCCTGAAAAAAATTATTCCTGGGTAATATTGTATATATTTATGTGCTTGTGTACATAATATATACATACACAGACACTTTTTAAAATTTTAGTCAGTTTTAACACAATTTGTATAAACAATCAATCTGATCGCATCGTAAACATAAGAATCTCACACTTTTCCTGCAGTTTCCTTGAATCCTTTAACCCAATTATACATTTTGCCTAAGGATCCCACCAGTGCATTAATTGTTTTTACTACAAAGTACCAGTAGAGATAATTTTTCAGAACAGTGTATATTTAGAACATAGATTCATAAGCATAATTGAAAAATGTATGCTGCACTGACACTAAAAACTTTTCTACTGCACCGGTTTTCAGTCTTTGGCACAATAAACAGAGATTTGATTGATACGAGAATGAAGGTCTGAAAAATTAGACATATTAGTCAAACTTTTTCCAATGTGGATATATATATCTACATAGTGTGATTTTTCTCTCTGGCTGAACCTAGATAAACCAACAAGCTGCACTAGGTTTGTTTGTACAAAGCTGTGTGCCCAATTACTACTGAAATTAAACATCTTATTAGCAATGTTTGGAATTTTGCATTTGTTCTCAATGGCATTTACTGCCACACTCTGCTAATATCCTGCAAAACACAGATACTACACTCTATACAAATGTACTGTACCTTGCTCATTCAAAAATAGGAGTTCTGTTCTCAGTCTGTTACATTAAAAATTCTATCAATTTTAATCAAATAGAGGTTACTGACTGTCCAAAATTACAGTAACATTTCTGCAAATCAAGAATTTCCATTTATACAATCTTCAATACCAACTGAACAAAGTGAATTGAAATGTATAACCTACTTGGAGGGCAATAAATAGCAAAAGTTTAAAATACATACTTCTTTCAAAGAAATGTTCAGTTTGTTTTTGCTATACTTTTTCCAAATCAGAACGTATTCTCATTTGTAAATAGCAGCAGAAAGCAGATATCCTTAGTTCTACCACTTCCTCAGCTGTACCTGTTTATTAGCATTTTTAAATGCTGGTTACCAACCAATGAGATTAGCCTTTGCTTTTTCAGTCAACTTGCGGACTCTGCCTCTGCTAGATGTCCCAAAAGTCAAAGAGGTGTCTTCAAACAATAGTTGTCTTTGCTCCTCCTCCGAGTCATCTTCATTGTAAAAAGCTGTCCTCCTACCCTGATTTCTAGTTCTCATGTGGGGTTCAGAATCTTTAAGTTCTTCATGCTCTTCTTCAATAGGTTCATCTGTCTTTTTTCTCTTGCTTCTCGTCTGAATCTTAGGATCTGCAGAAAACGTAAGTTCTAATCCTGGCTCTTGTGCCTCTGGCTTTCTTTTAGGCTTTCTGCCTCCACGCCCTTTTCTTTGCAACAAGTCTTCCTTCACATTATTTTCAGAGAGAGAATTGCATGCAGTGGAAACAGATGCTTCCTCTGGTGGTGGTGGTGGTGGTGGTGGTGGTGGTGGTGGTGTTGTTAAGTCTTTAGTAGTCTGGATTGTGTTCTGCCCTAAATTCTTTTGCTGAGCAAGTAATAGGTTTTTTGGTTTCCTCCCTCTTTTCTTGTGCACCACTTCACAACTATTGTTGTTTGTTTCAATCTTGGGTTTCCGTCCAGGACCCCTCTTAAACATAGGCTTTGAAGACTGTCCCCCATGTCCATTTACCTGGATGCTTCCTGATGCCAAAGCCATGACATTATTCTTGCAATCTGCTATAAAGACAGAGTAACATGTCAGTGACTTGCATTACCCATCTCCTTTGCAAACAAATAAAAAATTAAGTGCAGAGCAATCCTAAGTATAGGACCAATCAGGCCTCAATTTAGTTGCATACAAATTAGACTCATCTGAATGATTAAACACACCAAAAACACCATAAAATTTTCTAGTATTAATCAGGGCTGTAAACTGATAAACTAAAAACTTGCCTTATAAATTACTTAGTGGTTACTTGGTGGAAATTACTTTTAATCAATCTAAAACTGCAGCCCCAGTTATTATATATTCCATAATAACCAACATTTAAAAATACAAGAAGCTTACCTTGTGGGCTGAGAGTGGAAGATTTTGGTTTACGTTTAATTTGTTTATCCTTCTCTACATTTTCTCTTGCAGTATTATTCCTAGTGTTATGAGTATAATTGGTTTGATTATGGACTGATAAAATATTCTGGTTCTTGGAATGTTTGGTGGAATCCTCTAGTACTGGGAGACAACAGAGAGAGCAAAAGATAAGTTTTAAACAAGATTTTCAATTACTATATATTTGTTGGTCAAATAAATACACTTCTTATTTCTTCTGAAATATATTTTCAACAAAATATTGTTGAGGGGTTCTATTTAAGATTATTTCACTCATTTATCCTCACTCTATGGTTTTCTATACTTCCATGATTTACACAACCCCCAAATCTGCTGACTGTATGGGGTCTGGAAGGAGACGTGGCTCTCTGCTACTGAAGAACATTGGGACATGTCCGCAATGGTCCTTTGACCAGAAGTAGCTGGCATCAGGCCCCAAAATAGTGTATTTGGGGGGAAGGTAGTATCCAAAGCCCCTACATTCATTAGAGAAGTGCTGGAATCAGGCCCTCTCTCTACAACAAGCCTGCAGCTGACTTAACTAAATTTGCCTCCATTGGAATGTGCAATGGGAAAGGAGACAGAAATGAAAATTTTACTGTACATTGTGAAGGAAAAAAGGCAAGTCTGCCCATCCCCCCCCCCCCCCCCCCGCTGGCAGGCCTTTGGAAGTGGCAGTAAAATTGCCCCTTTGCATCCCCAACCTCACTCCATTTAGGATTGCGTTCCTAGTCTTCCTAATCTGAATATGAACATATAAATGTGATGTTGCATCTGCAGTGGAAGCCATTATATTTTAGGTTCCAGATCTGCACCACTTATTAATAAGTTTACCCACCTGATTTACCTGATGTAACAGTAGCACTAGGTTTCACAATTGTAGGCTTTCCTCCTGAAGAAGTAGATGGTTGTTCATTAACTGCCATTTCTGCTACTGCCCTTGTACTCCTTGTTCGGACCAAAGTCACATCTGCTTTTCCATTCATCTGAGCAGCAGTGTTTCTCAGGGATGTTGAACGTGATGGTGCAGGGGGCAAAGGTATAGCAGGGGGTTCAGCTTTCAGCTGTGGTTTTATTATTTTTCGTTTCCTGTCCGGACTACAAACAGATGAGAAGTCTGACAACTCATATTTTATAGCGTAAAGCAATAGCAATAGGCCCTGGTTATCAACAAATTTCATCCATGAGCCATTTTGTCTTTATGTGGTCCAATTCACCCACACACATCTCTCTCAATGCCTCTTCAGCAATTACAAACCTGCTGATTGTAACCTTTAAAGGCCTAAATGGCTAGGGCCACAGGTATCCAAGGAACTGCCTAATCCCACATGAACCTGCCCAGGTCTTAGAATATTCAGTAGAAATTGATTGCTTCTGCTGCTGAATATTAGGTGGGTGACAAACTGGGAAAAGGCGTTGTATGTTGTGGTTCTATGACTCTAGAATGTTCTCCATTAGCCAATGTGTCTGATGTCTAAAGCTTATCAAGCTAAGACCTTTTTAATGTCTAGGTTTTTAAGTATCTTTTTACAGTGGTGCCTCGCAAGACAAAATTAATCCGTTCCGCGAGTCTCTTCATCTTGCGGTTTTTTCGTCTTGCGAAGCATGGCTATTAGCGGCTTAGCGGCTAAGCGGCTATTAATGGCTTAGCGGCTATTAACGGCTTAGCGGCTTTAAGAAAAAGGAAACAAACTCGCAAGAACTCGCAAGACGTTTCGTCTTGCAAAGCAAGCCCATAGGGAAATTCGTCTTGCAGAAAGACTCAAAACACGGAAAACTCTTTCGTCTTGCGCGTTTTTCATCTTGCGAGGCATTCGTCTTGCGAGGTACCACTGCAGTTAGCTTTTAAGTTTTAACCACAGCTTAAGTACTGGTCTGCAAGTATCCCCTTATGGTTAGTAAGTTTACTGAATTAACTGTACAGTGGTACCTCGGGTTACATACGCTTCAGGTTACAGACTCCGCTAACCCAGAAATAGTACCTCGGGTTAAGAACTTTGCTTCAGGATGAGAACAGAAATCGTGCTCCGGCACCATGGCAGCAGCAGGAGGCCCCATTAGCTAAAGTGGTGCTTCAGGTTAAGAACAGTTTCAGGTTAAGAACGGACCTCCGGAACGAATTAAGTACGTAACCAGAGGTACCACTGTATTCTCTCAGATGCTGGGGTGTGGGTGGGGCGCAGGGAGAAAACAACTCCTACACCAAGGGGTCAGGTGGCCTCATGTATGATAGTGGCAGCTTGGACAACTGGACTGGAAGAATCAAAGCTAGCCCTGGGACTGTGCATGGGAGTAAGCTAGGAAATATCTTTTTATGCAGTGTAAAATATTAACAAAAGGAAGCCACAAGTGCTGCCACACCAATGTAAAACATTCAAATATTGCACTTGGAAGAACGAAGAACTCTATCATACCTTGATGCAACGCTACTAGAAAGAGAACTGCTTCTGCTTCTTTTCTTCCTTATCTTTTTAATTGTGCTTCTTTTATGAAAACGCAAGGCTGATTTGTAATCTGATAAGATGGAACTAATGTGTTCTTCAAAGAAGGCAGACAGGCGCAGGCTCATGCTGTAAATCTATTAAAAATATTAAAGTGTATTAATATGACAAAAAATTGAACAGTTTGTCTCACATTTAAATTTATGCCCATAGTAAAGGTAAAGGAACCCCTGACCATTAGGTCCAGTCGTGGCCGAATCTGGGGTTGTGGCACTCATCTCGCTTTATTAGCCGAGGGAGCCGGCGTACAGCTTCCGGGTCATGTGGCCAGCATGACTAAGCCGCTTCTGGCGAACCAGAGCAGCACACGGAAACGCCGTTTACCTTCCCGCCGGAGCGGTACCTATTTATCTACTTGCACTTTGCCTGCTTTCGAACTGCAAGGTGGGCAGGAGCAGGGACCGAACAATGGGAGCTCACCCGGCGTGGGGATTCGAACCGCCGACCTTCTGACCAGCAAGTCCTAGGCTCTGTGGTTTAACCCACAGTGCCACCCGTGTCCCACGATGCCCATAGTAGTTTACACAAATCAGCAGACACATGAAGCAAGATCAACTGCACAGAAGATCCCCATAAGGCTCCACAGCATCACATTCTCTGTTTCCCATGCACCGCAATGGGAACATTAGAAGGAATGTTCACAGTTCTTCACCCAGCCTTGTACTCTCCATAGGTGCTTTTGGTCAGAATGTAAGCAGCCAACACAGATAGAGGGAACACTGGATGAGGACAGGAGAGGGGCCACAGACTTCACATCTACTCTATTGTTCCTTCCTGTCACGCTGCTTGTCTGCATGCCCAAGTGCAGGAAAAATAGGTAGATGCAGGGAATAAGGATCCGTTGAATTGTATCAGGATTCTCCATGAACAGGCACAAGACCCAAAATAAGGTATTATTTCAGGTAACACCAACTATATCTTTAAATATGCTTTAAATTTAACGTCTGAGACGTGTTTTGTTGTCCATATTCAAATCAATTACACATTCCGCTTCTCTAGCAACAAACACAACATTTAAAGAACATCAGTACATATCAAGAAATAAATTGCAAAGCCATACTCTTGATCTTTTGCACGGTGTATACACTTTGGAGTTGCTGAAGATTAGCCTCACATCTTTACACAATTCCATTGGCGATTCATAGTTCCCTGCTTCTAGTGTTTCCCGAACCGTGGCAAAATCCATTGGCGTATCAATGATGTCTCTGTAATCCTTTAGAAATGTTTAGAAATATTAATGAACTGATTTCAACAATCTAATGTTATATTACTAATTACTGAAAAAGCAGAAAATAACTGCACAAGCCAGTATGAAAAACCATAAATCTTATACTGTGTTTTAAGCAAAATCCCCCAATGGAAAAAGGCCTAAAATTTCTGAATGTGCTACAAATCAGATGTATGGCAGATGAACAGCCTCAACAAACAGAATGCATGAAATACCAAATACAACCACACCTGTAAGAGAGATAGATAATAATATTTTGCTGAAAACTCAACATCATTGTCTTTTACTTAATAAAATGTTTATCATTATTCTTCCACTTCAGTTTTCTAAGGTAAATGTTTCAGAAGAACATCATATTTTCAAAATACTCACTGGATATTCAAGAAGATCCACTGGCTGGCGAAAAGGTTCAGAATCCTCACACTGAAAAATTAGATTCAGCAATTCCTGGCAATGCCTCTTCCATGCCTGAATATCATAGGATTGAGCTCTATTACGTAACCTCCGTTTGGGCTGATGATCCTAGAACAGCAATATTAAATACAGCTTATCAAATAAGTAGCTGTTCTTGCAAATTAAACAGAAAACTGATTATCCCCTTGTGGAAAAATGCTGAAGGAAAAAATATTCTGTGACCTCTCTCAAATTTTGAAGCCTTGCACTGTTACTTGAATTGAACCCAGTCAATTTTTAATATATATCTGGAAAAAATCAGGAGAAGGAAGCCATGGGCTGCTGGTGGTACCCACCATTTGGAAAATCAATAGTTTTAAGATTTATTGAAATAATCAATAATATTAAACATGAAGATACACATAATCAAAGAGGCCTTATTTAAATTTGTTTGTTCCCACTTCACACATAACCAAAGCAGAAATCACTGATGTAAAACAAATATTACCTTCCTCTTTCTAGTAGAAGTGCCTGGCATGTTAATGTCTTTCTCTTCTTCCTTTGGGCAATAAAATATTCATCACATGATGCAGAAATACTAAGCATTTGAAATATACTTAACTTTGGGTACTACTTCATATTTATTTATTTACTTCTACTTCCTTTCTATTATGAACTTATAAGTCTGAAAATATTTTTACACTTTAAGAAGCCAGCATTTGTAAACAGCAGCCACAGGCACTGCCTACGCTTGTTACTGCTGCTACTAGTTCCAGTCGTTTCCTTGCCTGCATGAAGTTCAGTGTGTGATACAAGGCCCACAAATACCTGTAAAGTTATTACTAGCTCATATTGAGATAGGGATGCATTTTCCAAAATCTCAAATTTTAAAACGGTGACTGTTTAAAACACAAGCATACACACACACAAACACACGTATAGGGACAGTTATAAATTACATTATATCAGAATTTATGGATCTGATTAATGTTTTCTTATACTAACATAAAGAACATTAACCAGGCAATAATTTATCTTCCTAGCTTAATTTGAGCTACACAGGTATTCTTTGTAAACTAGAATCCAAATTCTGCACTTTTATCCAAAAATAAAAGTCGATGCATGACATATTGAGTTAGCTTACCTCCTCCGAATCAGACAGGACTTTTTTCTTCATGGCATTATACAGTGGGATTATGTCATAGCAAGTCTGATCTCTGTTCAATAAAACACTTTGCATTAATGAGCTTATTTGCAGCCACAGATACACAGAGTAACTTGGATCCTGAGCAGAAATCCAGTTACAGGATACTCGCTGGTGGGAGGAAGCAATTTTGGCTGGTTCTTTTTTCCACTGCAGCTCCTTGCTCACTGGGTGACCCACTAGAGTAGCCTGGGAGACAGCACTGGGGGCTGGAGGTGGAACTGAAGATACTCTTCCCTCTCCCTTCCACCAGTGGGAGCCTCCATTGGATTAGAGTCCCTTCTATTAATGGAAGGAACCCTTACGCTCATGGAAAACCAAATCAGGATCTAAATGTCTATACAATACAGAATTTTATTGCTTCATGTTATTGGATTATAGTCAAAGTAATGCCAGCAGAGTTCCCTGGTGCAATGCTTCCATTCCCTCTCCTCTCCCCAATCTTCAATCAACTTTCCAGAGCTGATTTTGAGGGTGCGCATGGAGCTGCAGGGGAGAGGAGAGAAAGTTCCATTCTGCTATCACAAGGCTTTTGCACTAGCAGAATGGGAGCATGGAATACTGCCCAACATTAGAAAGATTTTAAATATCAACCTTCCTACTGTTTAAATGGTAATGTTAACCATGTTCTCTCCTCTAAACATGTAAAAGAATATGCCGAGTATAAAACATTGTCTTTCTTTGTATCTTTCTCAGATTATATTTTTCCTGCTTCTCTATCCAAAGCCACTTCTACTCAAAAACAAAACAAAACAGGAAAACCCCAGGCACAAGCAGCTTCTAAGCTTTCAGCAATTAATTTGCAGGATTTCAACTACCCGGCTTTCAACCACACAAAGTTGATATCACACAAATTAATCACGCATAAGATGCGATCGTACTGTATTCCCAATTCCTTGCCTTCCAGTAATGAGAACAAGATTAAATGAGCCCACAATGGAATTTACAACACACTATTTCCATGGATAAAGTTGTTTCTGGAAGAGTGGTAATTGCTGAAAAAATGAATTCTCTTATTCACAATAGCAATTAATAGTTCACTCTTACCCATTGTAAACATAAATAACATTCACTATAGATTAAAAGCATGTAAAGAATTCCTCTGGTTTATGATATTTCCACAATATGCACTGTGGGTCTGTTGATTAGCTTACTTTATGAAGTGCAGCAGCAGATCTGTGACAAATTTGGCAGATTTAACTATGGGACTTCCTGGTTCATTGAACGTCTGTGTATTATATTCGATATACCGAACTTCCCACATAAGTGAAGAAAGTCGCCTTTGAAATAAAGAACACATGCGTATCACAGAAAAAATAACTTTTGAAATTTTGTTCAAAATATGTAAAGACCTGGAAACGAAGAGTGATGTTCAGTGTTGTACAAGCAAACTTCTGATAACCCTTCCTCTCTGTCCCTCCCACATCCCCAAAATCTCCTAAAGACGGTCGCTTCTGGAACAATTATTGGGATACACATTTCTCAAAGTAGGGCTAAATTAATAATATGGACAAATTGTCAGAAATATAAAACCATCCTGACAAGAAGAAAAAAATGAGAGCTTAATACATGACTGCTTCAGTCAAGGCAGGCGCAAACTGAATTACAGTGGTGCCTCGCAAGACGAAATTAATCCGTTCCGCAAGAGTCTTCGTCTAGCGGTTTTTTCGTCTTGCGAAGCAAGCCCATTGACGGATTAGCGCTATTAGCGCTATCAGCTGTTTAGCGGCTATTAAAGGCTTAAAGGCTTAGGGGATTAGCTGCTAAAAGGCTATTAAAGGCTATTAAAGGCTTAGCAGATTAGATAAAGGGGGGGGAAAGCAAAAAAAAAAATTCTAGACTCGCAAGGTATTTTCGTCTTGCGAAGCAAGCCCATAGGGGAATTCGTCCTGCGAAGCAACTTCAAAACGGAAAACCCTTTCGTCTAGCGGTTTTTCCGTCTTGCGAGGCATTCGTCTTGCGGGGCACCACTGTATAGTACCTACCTACTTCCTGCTTTTGACCACTAGGTGGAGTCATTACATATTTAGATTTTAATGGATCACATTGGGGACAGGTCTTCCATAACTGGGGCACCACCACGGAGGGAGCCTTCGCTCTGGTAGCTGCCCACCTTATCTCAGATGGCAGCAGCACTCACAGCAGGCCCTCCACTGCAAATGTATAGGTACATATATCTGCATACGGCAGCCCTACAATTATCCTGGGTCCAAGCCATAAAGAGTTTTAAAGATCAATGCCCACATTCTGAATTAGTCCCAGAAAAGGACCAGAAAACAGTGCAGCTGGCCTAGAGAAAAGAGATCACAGAATACTGTGTTGGTTGGTTCTGGTTCCTTGGGTTATGACAGGAGGCTCAAAGAGATAAAATTATGAGCTTATAATCAAAAATACCTCCTGTAGGCTTCCTTTTAAGCAGTTCCAAGAGGAACAGCAGCTTTAACGTAAGTACTTGCTCAGTTAGAAAAACAGTTAAGAAAAGAAGGGACCCATAAGCCATTTAGGATTTCCTTTAGACAAGAGGCAATCCACATCAAGGTACAGTGGGCTGGAGCATTGCAAGGTTTAACCATAGGACAAGAAAGTCTTATACAACAGTTTGACATTTCATTGTACATCACAGTAATTGATCTGTGCTGTACACAGCTCAGCTAGAAGCAAAAGCTGCCCAGGAAATTACCCTAACATATATAAAATCACAAACATTTTTGGAAACACCAACAATAAAATAAACTTAAAACAAACCTGTAAAACCTATTTTCCAGCCTCTGTTTAATTGTACTAAGATCAGTAGGATATGCAACGACAGTGCAATACATTGGATAAGCTTGGAAATCCACAGGAGCCACAAAAGCAGAAGCAATATCTAAACACAAAACAAAGGTGTCATTACTACATTAGTGATAGGGAAGCAATTTTCTTAATGTGCAGCAGTAATTTGAGTGAGAGAGTGCCTAGCTAAAGAGGGAATTCTACAAGTCTTTCAATAAGAATGTGAAGTAGAAGTGACTTTTTTTTTTACTTGTAAGGTACTGAATATATGTATTCTATGACCAACACACACAAAAATATTTTCTCCAAAGTCCATCTCATGCATGCCATTTTCCGGCATAGAAATGATTGCCACAGATGAAGTGGACTGAAAAACTTGAATTTCAGTATGTGTTTTGAGAAGAATTTTAATACAGAAGGCCAAATTAAAAATATGCAGGAATGTGAGACTATCTTAATGGATAGAAATGATAAAAAAACACTTTTTTCCCCTTCTTTCACATTACCTAAAGTCATCAGCTGGTTTATCCCTGAAATTATTCTTTCACATTCATCATCACGAGTCCTGGAACCCCACTCTCCTTCCAAAGGCTTGTAGATTAATGATCTGCTTTCAATATTAGTTAAAGGAACACTAGTTCCAAGCTCCTCTGGAAACACAGCTGAAAGAGACACAAAATGAACATAATAGCTGATATAATTATCCTTGCAACTTAAGAAATTGCATACCTATTTTTTTAAAAAAAAACAACACAATGGTATAAACAATTCACAGCCCACTATTGTTTTTAAGAGCAACTAACTGATTGTGGAATATTATAAATGCATTTGGAAGAAAAACAAATACTTATTTCTGCATTACAGAGCATCTTCCATTATTAACATACTTACACAGAGTCATAGCTAGCTAGGATTATTTATTTATTTTGTTTAAAGAATGAAATGAAATAATCTATCCTTAAGGGATTGGACTGAGTTAGATGGATGAAAGGCTATATACATTTGAGCTACACATCTACATTTTTAATATATCTAATTACTTTTACAGTATTGAAAATCTTCTTGATTGAGGTCAGCATGTAAATAAATTCATCTCCACGTCACACAAATATAATGATAAACATTCTTGTTAACCAGTCTGGAGTCTGGCATTAAGAATTTAGGATTTCTAAGGAAGAGCTAAAATGAGATCCAACTAAAATTAGACTCTTAAGTAGCTAAGTTTGAAGAATAATGTTAGAAGGCGCAAAAGAAACTTATGGTTAGGGGAAATTATGTCTCTCCTAGCACTAGGGTACACTAAAGCATTTTGTAAACCACTAAACCACTTTGTAACCTTGACAATTCCAACATTTAATAGTCAAAGCTTTTCTTTATAAAAGTAGAGGCTGTTCCATATAGCAAGCGGTTTATGAAGTTTCTACTTTTCTTCTCACTGCAGTCAACATGGCAAGTGATCAGCATTCCTTCCACCTTTGGAGCTATGGAGATGGGTAGGGTACATTCTTGCAGTTGCATAGTGATTCCTGCCCCTTTTCCAAGCTCCAAGGTTGGAAGCAAGGCAGAAAGTTATTTAGTTGCTCTGTTGATGAGGTGACTAGCACTTCTTGCCTCTTGCCTTTTCTCTCTTCCTGTTCGTAATGAATTGTGAATTGTTTACATTGATGGAGATTCTTTAAATTAAGTATTTTAATGTTATTTGTATTTTATAGGAAATGACATGTATAGCAATGTATTGCTGGTGTTTATTTAGAATAGAATAGAATTTTATTATTACGGTCACAGACCAGTTCCGGGTCACTTACAATATCAGTTCCAGGTCACTTACAATTTCCCTTTGTTTTTCCTACTTTTCTGTGAATTGCTTTTGGGTGTACTTATATAGAAGAACAGAATACAAATATAGTGACTGACTGAAAGTTGTATCCAAAAGCGTTGCTGAGCAGACAGATTTCCATCAGTGGAACAGGAAGGAATCCCCGTCTCCCTTGCAGCTCTTATCCAATCAGCTCTGGAGGGTTGGGGACCCAAATAGCTTGCCAAGTGCCGCTGTCTCCATACAGATATTTCAAGTGATCACCAACACCAAAGTGGGAGATTTTTGGCCCTCCAAGCATTTAACTACAGCTCACATCAGCCAAAGCAACCATGGCCAATGGCTAACGTTAATGTGAGTTGTAGTTCAGCAACATTTGAAGGGCCAGAGGTTCCCACACCTGACCTACATAAACAAATTAACTGGGACAGAGTCTTCATTCTTCCACTTTACCACTCATGAGTAGAAGCAATCATCATAATACTTCTAAAGTGTTAAATTTAATCAATTTATATATCAATATCTGAACTTAACAGAGTAAGGATTTATTACAGTGAATCCAGCAGTGTTATGAACTCTGACCTTGGGAATTCACCCCAGCAATGCAATGGAAGGACAAGTTTTGGAGTCTTTGCAAAATGTTTGCTTCCAAGTAGTTTAACAACAAAATTTTGTATCAATTTCTGAAAACCAGGCAACCAAAATGCAATGTTCAATTTTCTTAAGACAGGTAATGAGTTAGTTCACAGACATTTTATTAATGTAATAAAGAAATTGATTTGTTTTCCCTTCTTTTATAGCATAATCAGCTTAACTTCTTTATAGTTCATCACATACGTACATAGTAAGTTCTGTCTCCTTTCTGTACATCTAGGGGAAAGTAGACACATACCATTGTTTGGTATAGGCTCCATATCCCAAGGACTCATTTTCTCAGCATCTCCATTGTCCCAACTTCAAGAGAGAGAGAGAAAATTACAATCAAGTTAAAGTTACTATTACTTATCTGAATATGTAGATGATCAACACTTTACCCCAAAAATATTTTCAACAAAATGCAGGTAGAAAATGTACCAGCTAATGATTAAACACACATGAGGTTAAAAACCAAAAGAGAAAAATAAAACCCCATGTATAAAGCAAAAGCTACTAACCAGACATTGTAGCACTGAAACAAGCTGTCAGGATAATCAGGCTGAAGAGGTTCTTGGCTTTCTATTGTTCCGAACCACCAAGCATCATCAATTACTGATCTAAATCGATCACCTGGACAAGAATACAAAGTCACGTCTTTACTCCAGAAGGGATAGAACTGTATCTTAACAGTTTCTTATAATCATGACCAATATTATTAGAGGTAGCTTTTGCCAACTATTGAACAAACAAGAAGATGCAACACCCTGACAACTTTCCATTAGCAGGACTGCATAAAGCTTCAGCACTCTAATGACACCATTACAACCAGATAAGCTTGACAAAAGAAGATTCATTTCAGCGGGCTGCAAAATACTCCCAAAGGTAAGATGCCACAGAGGCTCTTTGTTATTAAAGAGGTCTGTGTCACATCCTCTAATCTCATGTTGAGACTGTATGACAGAAGCAGTCTGTTTCCAGATATAAAGAAGGCAGCCATAAATTTGGCCCATATTCCTTCCTCCTACTACAGCATTCATTTTCTCAACATATGAGACATGAACAGTTCAAATGCAGATCTGCATCCTGCATGTGGGCTTTAGCCAGCTCTGTTCACCTGGCTTAGAGGGTGAGGGCTGATTCCTCTCCATTCAGTTCTCTCTCCCCACCCCTGTATGTGATCAGTACTGACAGCACTAACTATCTGTTCAGCAGACACTGTTGTTCCAGGGATAAAAGATGGGCCCTGAAATCCCGTTTTTTGACTTACAATTACAGGAGAAGACAAGGCAGACAATAGTTTATTCATTCAGAACATACTCCTAAAAATATACTAAAACAAAAATGTTTAAATTCTCTTCAGATTTTTTTTTTTTAAGTTTTTCATACCCAACTGTATTGCAAAAGTAATATCTATGTTAGTATTACTAATCAATACTAATATTGATTAGTATTGTTAAGAAATAAAAGATTTATCATAATCCTATAGTCAATTGTATAGTATAGAAATGAATTTTTAAAATTTTCTGCTTTAATAATTGCTTTCAATTATTGTTGCTTCTAAAATTCAGGTGAGGCAACTTGTTTTAACGTGAATCTATATGGCTTCCTGTTTCACTCATCCACCCAAAATCTGAGATCTTGGTTCAAAGGACTTCTGTTCTTAATCAAGGAGCTCAGGCTTTGCAGGCCTTTAATTAGCTGGATAAAAGCCATGTTGCCACAGTTTTCTGCATTGACCTATTCAGCTCAGCTTTTACCTTCCTTAAAAAAGTAAACGCAAAATTGGGAAAATACATTGAGTCTGGCATCTCTAGTTCAAAGCAGAAAACTTAGAAGGTTTGAGTAAATAATCCGTATATATATTTAATGCTCAGAATTATAGTTAACACCTCCCAAAATTACTGATACAGTGATTGTATTAAAGGTACTTACCTATGTTCCAGCGTCTGTGTTTTGCATCATCAAACTGCTGCCTTAAGACTAGGAAATCTATAACATCTGGCATGTCATGATACCTGGATATAACCAAAATAAGACAAAAATAATAAGAAAGGTGTTTGCTATTTCATAGCCAAAAGTATTTGAGAACATATCAATGCCAAGTAAAGATTTAGTAGACTTTGTAGAAGAACTTCAGTGTCCGTCCGTCCCCAATACACTAAGGGATAAAGTAGAAGTTTGGTAGAAGACCAAATTAACACTGAATTGCTGGGAAGTGGGGGGGCTGATTAAAATGAAGGCGTGCACACAGAAGTATAGCCCATTACTGCTCTCTTATCTTCTCTTGACTTCTATTTTCAACAGGTAAAAGAAAGGGAAGAAGGAATTTCTTTCAGAAGCTCAAAGTGATGAATATTTGAAAGTTACTTAGGAAGCCCTTTTAAGCTTCATTTTATAAGGACCTTTTAATTTAGATCCATTGCGAGCATATTACAAATATTTATTTAGCCACAAATATTACAACAGCTGTATGTGAACAGTGGTCCTTACTTCATTGTAAAAGATCCTCCAGTCAATTTACCAGTATCTGGGTCAAGAAAAGCAAGTTTAAGGCAGCAAAGTGTAGGTAGCCCAACTTCATATTTTATTCCAACTATTTTCATGAGTTCTTGTTCCTGATGGAGACCAAAAAAAAGCCTTGCATTAAGTAAACTAAGAAAACACAACAGAAACTCGAGTTAACATATGACAGCAAAAGTAGTCTGGGAGTTCTAAGCTTTATCATATATTTCCTTGTATTTTGAAGTGAAATGGAGTCTACTTTTTAGTAATTTTTTAATGTATTTAATGTCGTACATTACTTCAGTGTCTAAAGACGATAGAGAATGTGATTCAAATACTACAGTACATGAGAGGGGGCTGAGGAGAAGGCAATGTGGTCTATCAATTATACAGAAACTTAATATGCAAACATTATACAAAAACATAAGAAAGAGGACTATGCTAACAGCCACTCTTCATTTGGCAATATATTTATCCTTTGCTGTCATGACCACAAAACATTGAAATTGCACTCAACTTACAAGAAGTTAGGAACAGTCAATGGCAGCAAGGGATGGAGGGAAATGCACACAAGATAGGAGAAGGTCAAGGATAAAGAATGCCACCTTGCCATGGTTTATTTTAGAGGACAACCTACGTATGCCTACAAAGTAATAAATCCTTCTGAGTTTAGGGGAGTTACTCCAAGATAAACACATACAGAACTTAAAGGGGGAAACAGAAGAGACATACCCGTAGTTCCATCTTATGCCATGGCTGTTTCTTCGGATTAATGCTATATATTTTGTTCTTCTTTGCCATTAAAACATACGCTTCATGGCCTTGTCGGAAATAATATACCTTAAGAATAGAAGAGAGACTTTTTTTAAAAAAAAAATGCCACCTTACTTGATGTGTGAAAAAGTTGGTGATTCAAAAACATTAAATGTCTAGAGATATTTTTCTTGAAATTCTCTTCTTTTTAAAACTTGGAAGTCCATTTACCCAGCCGCATAACATATACTTAAATATCAGAGGACATGCAATTTGTCATTTCTACTTCCTGACCAGTGGCCACCTCTTCCCTTACCTCATTTTCACTGTTCCAGTCATGTCCTCTGCTACAAATCTGTTTCTACTCCCGCTAGCCTTTTCCTTTTTAAACACAACAGCCAGACAGCATTCCATGGCTACTGAGCATGCTCCTCTATCGCTGGGGGTTTTGATGGTGGGGGTCCTTTAAAATTCTCCCCCCTATATGATTCTTTGCACTTCTGCAGACATAGGAATTCCTCCAAGCCTGTTGCTACTTCTGCAGGAATGGTGCTGTTTTAACTATCTAAGCCACTGTACTCACACCAGAATATAAGACACAGAGAACAAGCATGGCTCTGCAACAAAGTGTTATAGCATGGCAAATTTTGTTAAGGGTTCCCAGCAGCCTGCCAAGGGAGAAGAAATAAGGGAGGGGGGAAATGTTCTCTTAACTCTGCACACCTCACCACTGCAATGATTTGCAAGGTTCACACATCTTGTGGACTGAAGAGTATACAGGCCTAAGAGACAAGCATCTCATATATAGTTTTTCCTTCTCTATGAATTGCAATGCATTCCTCTTATACTGTTTGCACCCCGGTGTCTGAATCACTCAATAGTGACAAGTAGAGATAACTGGTATTTTAAAAACAAGCACCACTGTTCTGGGTTATTCCAGTGTTCTGCTTTGTTTTTGTTTTAATTACTCTGAAAATAGACTAATACAATAAAACAAGAATACATAGACAGAGCACAGAATAAAGGGAGAAAAAGAATTTTTTAAACGTACCTCATCTCCCATTTGTGGTACAAATGGGCATCGGCGAGGAACAAGGTCTGTGATCCACACAGAAGGCAGCCATTCTTCCAATGTCAAGCCATTTTCTGCCAACACTCCCACAGCCAACCTCTAAAAGAACCCCCCCCCCCAATAAATCTGAATTAATCTCTAGGATTTTTTATTTAAAAAACAACAACTGTATTTGAGGCATCATTAGAAGTCTAAAGAATTACTGAAAAATATATTTAATTTGAAATATTTTGGTTAGCCATCCTGGGGGGAAAAACGAAATAGGAGAATGTTTGTAACAGGAGCAAACCTGACACACCCCTTGTCTACATAGGACTCCCACCACGGGCCCTGCTTCTTATGCTAGACTGTGATAGAACTCTGAAAATGAAAGATTGTGTATTTACTAGCACATCTGTTCCTGTGTGTGCATGGAGGGTATATATTGCCTGGACCATGGGAAGGCACAAGTGGGTGGGTGCTTTGTGGGAAACCTACTGTAAGGCAACTCAACCACTTCCGCTATACCTCAATTTGCAGTTCATTTGCTTCATCCCATTGATCCACTGGTTGCCACTAAGAATCGACCCAGACACTATCTGCATAATTTAGCTCTGTTGCAAGATTCAGTTCTCATTATGATTCTAAGCATAGTGGAACCCTGGGAGCTAACTTTTTTCGATGGGTGGATATATAGAAAGGTGCAGAGATGAAGAAACAGCTCTCTGTAATGCAGAGAGATTAGATTAGATTAGATTAGATAAATTTATTGTCATTGTCCGTATATACACAGTATACACAACAACGAAAATCTAAGAGAATCTTCTTATTGCATACAAAATTGTTATTTACAGAATCTGTATTTTCTAACTATCCGGTTTGAAATAAATTCAATTGTGTGGTTTGGGAAACCACCCAAAATGTTTTTCATTAATTTAAAAAATGTCCAAATGCAATGCTGCTCTAGCAACACTGTTCTCTCTCATGCTATGCAGCCATTAACAGCAACTACGGTCTGGAAAGGATTCCAGGAGGGAGAGGGGGAAAGGGAAAGCTTATGTTAAGTGGCTGATCCTTTTCCAGCTCAGCTGCTTGTTTGTTTGTTTTAAGTACATGGTTTTCAATGTGTCCATTCTTTTTCCTTAATGTTTGGAGTTGCTTTGAGGAATACAGTTGGAAAGTAGAAAGCAAGTCTATTAGAATATAAACACACAGTATCAAAATCTTCTATAAGCTTGAATTTACCTTGGTTGTGCTCATATCCACATTATTAAAATAAAGCCTAATTGAGGTCTTCAAAGTAAATTTTCAAAAGATAGTCACCATCTTCACATCCTTACTGCAGAGTATGCTTTTTACCAACTGCTATTTTTTAATGGTGGGTCCCCACAATTTTAATGAAAAGAATTAGTGAAGCCATGAAGATTGAAGCAGTGGGACCAGTAAATGGAGATTAGATACATTGCAAGTTGTCTCCTATCTGATATATAGACCAACCCTGCAATTCAGTCTCTGGTTTGGAAATCGGAAGCTTCTGCTTTAAATTAAGCACAATTTAGCCTTCATCCAAACTCAGTTGTGGTTAATCTTAACTATACTGTAGTTAGTGAAAACAAGCCAGCTTCATAAATCAATTTGGTTCATTTCCACTAATCATACCTAAGACTAACTGCCATTTGTCCTGGTTTGGATGTCATGAGAAGCTACAGTTAGCCTGGATAGCTCAGTTGGTTAGAGCATGGTGCTGATAATGTCAAGGTTGCAAGTCTGATTCTCATATGGGAGAGCTGCATATTCCTGCATTGCAGGGGGTTGGACTGAGGCTTGGGCAAATAACATTAAATCATATTGAGTAATTTTCTGTTAGAAAATAGATATAAATATTCTAGACACAAACACACCATAGTTTAGCATTCTATGTGAAACAGGTTAGGATTTTGCCATTCAAGGGATGGCAGTCCCTGCCCCCACACACAGGTACTCAGGATCCTGTACAATTAATCAACAAGTAGGCAACTGCTGCAGAAAAACATTGGCTCGGATCCAAACATACATCTATGAACAGAACAGAATTTACTTTCACAGAACAGAGCTTTCCTGCCTCCCCATTCCCTTTATGCATTCTGCTACTTCAGAAATCTGCTCTGGGATTGGGAGGCCCTAATGAACAGTGTGGGATATGGTACAGAGGGCTACAAATAGAGAAGGGGTTTTACAGAAATGTCCTTCTTTCTTACAGGAACAGAGGAGCAACTTGAGATCCAAAACAATATCTGGAAAAGCCCTACAAAGTAGTAGAAAACACAGAAGAAATACAGGAATACAACCAAGGTTGTTGTTCCAAGTCCCCAAACAGCTTTTATGTGGCTGTCCTCTATGACAATGGATTAACATAAAAGCATTCCACAGGTGAATGATTAAAAAAAAAAGGTGCATTCAAAATGCACAAGGAGGACAGGTACCATCACTACATTTAATCTGAATGAAAGTCACACTGCATGAGAACAAAACCACTCTACTAATGGGTTGGATCAAAGAGGTTCTCTTCTGTTGATGAAAGGATTCCTTTCCTGTGTATTTAACACATGCAAGACTTCAAAACTCTTGCAAAGTAAAAAAAGAAAGTAGCACTTTCAAGTTCAGAAACATGTAAGTACATTAATGTAGTGTGGTGGGTGCCTTAAAATTATAACTGCCATTCATAGGGATCAATATTGACAACAATTAAAGAAACATTACTGCTAATCAGAATAATGTTTATATTAGCTAATATTCTACTACTATAATAACAACCTTTTGCTTTCTCTCTTTGGGTTTCCTTTTCTTTGGTGATGTTGGACCATCTTTGTATTCAGTATCTTTTTTTCTTTCCTTTCTGATTTGCTTTTGCCTCTGTTTTTCAGGACCTTCCTCATCTTCTGAGCTGCTTTCTGCTTTCTTAGTCTTAATTTTAGGAACTTTCTTTGGTGGTTGCAGATTAATTCCAGCATCTGCTGTCCAGTCTGAATAATCACTAGAATAGTCACTAGAAGAAAGAACAAACCAATAATAAATTTACACAAGCTTAACACACACAAAAATAACTTTCCAGCTAGGACTTAAAATCTAGAGAGCTACACTGGCTCCCAGTATGTGTCCAAGCACAATTCAAAGTGTTGGTGCTGACCTTTAAAGCCCTAAATGGCTTCAGCCCAGTATACCTGAAGGAGCATCTCCACCCCATCGTTCTGCCCGGACACTGAGGTCCAGCGCCGAGGGCCTTCTGGTGGTTGCCTCGCTGCGAGAAGCCAAGTTACAGGGAACCAGGCAGAGGGCCTTCTCGGTAGTGGCACCCACCCTGTGGAACGCCCTTCTACCAAATGTCAAAGAGAACAACACCAACTAGACTTTTAGAAGACATCTGAAGGCAGCCCTGTTTAGGGAAGCTTTTAATGTTTAACAGACCACTGTATTTTAATATTTTGTCGGAAGCCGCTCAGAGTGGCTGGGGAAACCCTGCCAGATGGGTGGGGTATAAATGATGATGATGATGATGCTAAGAAGATTTAAGTGTTTCCTACCCCACCCTTACTAAAACTAGAATTGATTGACTCTACATGCATTTCCTGAATGGATCGCTAAAGGATGAACATAATCCTAAGCATAAAAACAGGTATACAAGAGTAGAATGTATTTTTAAAATAAAAACTACCGAATTATGAAACTTTCCTTAAATATTCCAATTAACACATATTTAATCTTATTTCCAATATAGCGGTTATCTTTGGGTCCCAAATACAACTATAAGCTTGAAAAAATAGAATATTGATACTTATAGTTAACATTTACTGTACTTGAAGTAACATTTATAATGTTTTAAAATTTCCTGTTTTCTAGTTTATACTAACCAGGTTCAGGTTACCATTCTGTGTAATACATGAAATCAGTCACTTGCAAAACTGCAGAACTACTTTTCCAATCTCCTTAAATATACTTCTGCTATTAAACATTTAAGAATAATTGTTCTACTGAACGCCTCAAAAAATAGGCCCATGAAGTACTGTTTTTAATCACTGTTACACTTCCTCTTCTGTTATTTAAATGATTTCTTACATTTTGTGCATTAGCTCAACAATGCTTTGCCTTTATCTAGTGACCCAAGTATACAGACTTTGCAAAAATATCAGTACAGAATACTTTTTTGACAAATTTCCAGTTCCTTCATTTACTTAAACTAAAGTTATCCTCTAGACCAAAATATATTTATGCATGTTTCTTCAATGTCTATCTATTCAAACTACAGGAAACCCATTCTCAGTGTTCGAGTTTTGCTTTAGCTTAGACAGGAAAATCTTATAGACTATAGCTGGGACCTACAAATACATGAACTATATATGCAAGGGATATAGGACTGCTACCCTAGAGCATCTTACTACCTTGAGAGTGGGTTTCAAAGTATGGAAGAGACTGGCGCTTAAAAGGGGATGATGAAAATCCCCTGTGCATGTACAGCAGCTTGGATCCCAGCCTAAGTATTTTATTTTCTTCTTTGTCTCTTTCTTTTCTTTTCTTTTCTTTTCTCTTTCTTTCTTTCTTTTGCATTCCATAACTGTTTGTTAATCCATCTTTTCTTAATCTCATTGTTTTTATTTTTTTCCCTTTTTAAATTTCTTTCTTTCCTTTATGCTATATATATAGAGAGAGAGTGTGTGTGTACACGTGCATTTAACAACCTTTATGGACCTTTATATTCAGTCTCTTACCTAGAACTGCCATCACTGTGCCATGCTTTCCTCTCGTCTTCAGATGTTCCTCCACTTGCAACAACTACTTCTCCCTCCTAAGAGCAAGGGAATATAATGTTTGTTTATAACTAGTAATACATACTAGAATATAATATCTATCCACATAATACAAACATCATATATTATATATGTGTGTGTGTGTGTCCAACAATATTTCTTCTAAGAAATATTAGTTGGGTTTGGTCTAGACTTGTCCCCTGTGAGCAAAGGGCTCCTTCTGTTCACAAAGGCAGAATCAACTTCCAGCAGAGGTCCCTTTCCTGTAGATCCCTCTCCAATTTTCATCTACTGCTCCCTGCACTCCCCCACCCACATGCTGTTTCCTGGAAGAGGGGCCTGGCTGCCAGGCATGATGAACAGGAGCCCTCCACACTGCAGCACTGCCTTGCTAAAGCAAGTATGTCATGCAACAGTTTTGATGCATGCAACTGAAATGTCACACAAAAATGTTGACCCACCACCAACATAAACTTGAATGAATGCTACTGTCACCGTCCCATAAAATATAATTCAGTGTCTTACTTCAGAGGAACTGCTTCCTTTTTCCGCATCTTCATTTGGCCTGGCAGTTTCTTCCAGTGCATATCTAGTACGGTAGTTATGTTGGTTGGCCTGTTGCTTTTTTGAATCACCAACATCTAACAGATGATCATGAGAATGATTCTAGGAAGACACAAAATGGCCATTACAAGAAGATACACAAGAAGTCACTGTTCCCAAATTCTTTTTGATGAACGATCTTAACATGTAGATTGAATTTTTTAACAGATTTAACTTTATATGGTTTTTATGATATAGAAGATCGGGATGAAGCAACTGCAACATTTTATCTAAGTATACAAAAGTAGGGTTGTGCTTGGAGCAACTGATCCAGCTCACATACTGCTACAACATCCTAGGGTATGTTAAGTTTTTCAACTTTAAAATTTAAAAAAATGAGAGGTACTATAAAGTGGTAACACGACTTGGGAATTCAAAAATATTTTTGTTAAATATATATAATATAGTTTTGCTTGGTAAGTAAAATGTGTGTAGAATTGCACAGAAATCAGTAAAAATAATTTCCAAGTACTTGTAGTTATATTATATATTAATATTATTTAGCATTCACATTTAGTTTACATTTTCAGAAAGTAAAATTAAAATTATTTGGTTTTCCAAAAGCAATTTATGTGCTTCTTCATCAAAAAAAACCCCAGATTTGAATTCCTCACACCCAAAAGCATATTTTAAAGACCCGCCCCCCTCATAGAAGAAATTTGCAAAAAAAAAAATCACCCCTAAAAAGCCATGCCCTACTATCCCATATACCCTCAGCTTTCCCGAAGATCTGCCTTGCTATGGTTGAAATCCTGTTCTACCTTATATCAGACTTCTATCCCAATTATATTTGAGTCTACCCAGCAATAATTCCTACTGATTGCAATAAGGCTTAGTTGAAAGTAATTCTGTTTAGGGCTGCACCTTTCATGAGGGACTGCATTAGAGACAATGGTTCACTGCTTACCTTAGGTAAAGATGGTATTTTATTCTCTCTAGGAACATGAGGGATAATGTGTTTTCTTTTCTCTTCTGACCTGTATAACTTGATTTCTTCTTCTCCCTTTGCTGTTCTCCATTCCTCCTGCCTACTACAAAAGAGAAATTTAGATACTAATGTGCACGTATTTTACAGTATAATTCTACATGCAGTAGAATTACAAGGTCCATGCCAATTCCTGGAGAAGAGGCCATGTGCCCACACACTTCAATATGTTCCATGTTTGACAACGTAGGACTCCAAAGTATATATGCCAACATAAATCAACAACTCCTTCTGCAGTTTTAAAATAGCATACCAAAAATTTTAATCCCCGCAAAAGGTGAAAAAGATGATAGATCTGTACACACATTTATTCATATTCACAAAACTGAACAATTTTGTAATGAACATTTTAGAGTCCTAAAATGTTAAGTCCAAGGAATGCACACCCACTTCTGGCTCACAGAATTAACCCACATTTTAAATGTGGCGATTTTTTCCCTGTGTCATAAAGATGAACTTTTAACAGTACCATAGAATATCTCTTTCTGCAAATTGAATATATACAGTAAAAGATAAAGAATGATTAAGTCAAGGCTAGATGTTCAGGACCCTAATGGTGCAGATTCTCCCGAACCAACATGGGTGATAATTTTTTTTTGTTTTAAAGGTGACCACTAAGGGCATAATAGATATACTCCAGGCACAGCAAGTGAAAGAAGAGATTCTGTATCTGCAGCCATTCCTCCAATAATAAATCTGAGAACACTGCTTGTTATATGGACTTAAAGAAAAGCAAAAGCATCCTGTGAAGGCTGATACCAGTTTGGGGCTTTTAAATGAAATATGTACAAATAAATTCCAAGGTTAATTGTAAGCCTAGCTATTCAAACTTAGCAACTTGATACCAAGATACTTGAATTTACCTAGCTACTCCTGTTGACAGCTCTGGTACCACAACCCTTCGACTCCATGCCACTAGGTCTCTCTCAGTAGCTATCTCACTTCTTGGTGCATTGCTATGCATCTGCCGCACTCCTTCAATCTGTCCACTGCGTCTTAACCCCACATTTGGTGGTGAATGTACCTCAGAGGTAGAGTTTACAGAGCCTTTGAAATGAAAAACAATATTTTCAGAGACAGTTCTGAGGGAATCTGATGCATAAAATTAATGGCTTAGAACCTAATTCCTGTGAACAAACTCACTCACAGCATGTTACTGCTGGCAGAAAGGGGGATTTTCACAATTTCCCCATCTCCCCACAGCCCAGCTCAAAAGTTGGCTACAGAGATTTGGGAAACCCCCCCTCCCCCGGCAGAACAGTGTGAAAAGTGGCACTGAAAGCCATAGAGGGTATCAGGAAAATACACCTTCCCAGCTCCAAGAGCCTTTGCTGAAACTGAACCCCTTCCACAGAAAGAGTATTTGTTCTGTTCACAGAAATACAACTCAGGATTCCAGGCAAGACAATTACATGTAGATTAAAAATACAATTTCTAAATATAGTTAGGTAGCTTGGCAATATAAATTAACCACCCTTATAAAGCACTACTGTAAGTCCACTATATTCAACTAATTTAGGCTGTAAACTGTAAAATGGGTGCCACTATTGCCTTCTTCAGGTGTTACAATGATTGAAGTGAACACATGGAGGGAGCCAGCAGAAATTAGCACCCTACTTCTACTGCCCCCTTTAGAGGGTGAAAATCTGAAGCAGGGAACCTCCTTGTACAAGGAGGCTCCCCACACAATGCAAATTCTTATTTTCCAGGGATCTAAAATGAATGGGGAACCTTCGTGAGCAGAAGGCTCCCTGCTTCAAACAGTCACCCTTTGCAAGACGGAGTGTAACCGAAATGGCAACACAGCATGAGACTTGAGTGCTCATCCCTACTACCCTCCTCATGAGTTCACTCCACTCCTTATTTTAATGTCTGAAGACAGCTTCTGTAACTACCTTAAGCTTTCCTGCTAGTTGCAATTTGATGAAGTTCCTTGGTTTAAAAACAAATACATTTTATTACTGGAAAGTGATGAGAGACATTATTATTGTGCTCAAGTGCCCCCTTTCCATAAATGTGATATACTGAATGGAGGCAAGTCAGATCCTGCTTATTTGGCTATTTAAATAAGGAGTTATTTTACCCCGGCCAACTCTGTTAGTGTTGCTAGTTCCAGCCTCTCCTGATCGCCTTTGATCTTGCTCTTGTTGAAGTCTCTGTATCATGCTGTCCAAGGGGCTAACTTGCTGACTCAAAACCTGGTTCAGTCCTATGAAAAGCAGAATTTGAATTTAGTTCTTCAGCTGATCCATAATTTCTCAATGTATTAGAAGTATTGGAATATTAGAAAGTGATTCCCCTTTGCATTAAAGGTAGTTGGAGGTTATGAATGTGACATTGCCCCTTTATTAGTGATCATTGAGAGCATAAATAATGCTGGAAAATAATTAACATTATCTCATTGCTTTTCCCATATGCACATCACTCTGTGAATTTAGTCTGGTAACAGTGCTAAGACATCTTCCTTGGAAATCCTGTTGAATACTGCATACTCAAATAAAACTTCAAAGGCCCATGTCAAGTTGAAGTTGTTGATACCTGAAGAAGTTACCCCCATCTGGGGAATAAGTTGCTCCTCTCTACAATTTTCACGTCCTGGAACTAATCTCTGGTATCTTGATGGATGAGGGTTACCGTCAACATCAACTAAAAATGGTGGAGGCATGAGGTGTGGTGCTTGTTGTGTCTGTTCATCCAATACAAAGTTGTTGGCATCACGGATGAGAGGCCGATAATCACTGTGAAAGAACATCTGATCTGCTATCTGTAAATAAATCAAATTTTAAATTATAGACAAAACTAGTATTTCATTGTTATCTGCAGCTCTTTCCTATTATTATTTTAAGAGTCAACTTCAGAAGAGCCATAAAGCACTAGCAAGCTACAGAAACACTTGTGTTCCAGATACTCCTGCATTTATGTAGCTTTTCCGATTTCCTATTTAAATAGCTTTTCCTACTTAAATAGGAAATAGGAAAAGCTACATAAATGCAGGAGTATCTGGATATAAACCAGAGTCAGTTTGGATGGCCATGGTAAATTATAGATCCTGTACAAAAGCTACAACTGAAACAAATTTAAGCTGTTTTCTGCACGATACCTTGTCATATTTGCTACTGGAGCCAAATCCAAAGATCAGAAGATGACCGTGAGAGTCTGTACAGGCAAAATGCTGGCCATCAGGAGAACACTTGCAGTCAAACACTGCCCCATGTCCTTGTCCTTCAATCTAAAATACAACAACACACAATATCAACAAACTTCTAACCAAAATTGTCATATTATTTTCAAACACATGACAAACCTATTTTTAAAAGGAAATATGCTGTTAGATGAAAATTACATTCAGCGTGGTTTATTTTTTTATATCACTTGTAAGCAAAGTCCGATACACCATTCATTAAACAATACTACATTTCCTGCCTTCTGACATTTTAAGAAAAAATATAAGGTTACTCAATTAAGTTTACACTGTCTTTCATATAGTTATTCTTAAGGAGGATATACATTTTCCTCCACTATATTTTCAATAAAGACAAAGCTGTAATCCTAATATTCTATTGCTAGGAAGCAAGTCTCATTTGAAGATACTTCTAAGTAAACATGTTTAGGATCAGGCTATTACTGTAACTATCATTAAAAGCTGCAATAAAAATTAGTTTACAACATGGGAACAAAAGTATTTGACAGTTGCCCTTTGGTCTCATTTCATGACTAAGTGCTAAATTAGTTCTTGGCCCTTCTTGCAAACCACAATGAATTCTGTTTATTTAAAGCACTTGCCCAATTGTTGCCACTGTAATAAGGATATTTGAACTAGTTGCTTTTTACTTTCAACCTGAACACTGTATTTGATTGATTGCAACTCATATAAAGAACTGCAAATATTTTTAAAAAGAATTTACCTGATACTCATTTTCAGGTTTTCCACTTCCATTAATCCAGAACAAATGGGTTTTTGTTTTTCCCTGAAACCTGTCAACCAAGCACAGGTGACCAATCACCACTCTGAACTTTCATGCCCTATGTACTCTACCAATATTCCCAGTTGCAAAATAATTTCAGTGGCACTTAAGCGCAAAACACTTTCACCTAACCACGGCAAGGCAAGCGAGGAAATGGGGTTCCCTTCCACAAATAAGAGCTAGCTGAACCTTGCATTCTCTGAAGAAAGAGAATGATAAATAGTCCTATTTCTCATCGAGAAAATAAGGTACAGAGGTTGTCTTGATTAGTGTATACAGCATAGCGGGCCCAGAGATTATGGTGTAACTCCATGCTCTTCAAAATTCTAGATGTGCTTCAAAATCAGTAAACAAGAAGTCATAGTAATAAACATATTACCTGACAGTAAATTCCATTTAGTTCAAATAGAATTTACTTCCAAACAACAGGACCAAAGAGATGGAGAAAAGCATTTACTATTCTATCCTAAAAAGAGTCAAAGAAGGGGTTGTTGAATAGGATAAGCAACCTTTATTAAAGATAGCTACATAAATTTTGTATCAACTCAAGCTCTCTAATGGCACAATTTTTAGTCTTTGATATCAAAGGGAAAGGAGGTTGGACCCTTTGTATCATGGGAAGGGAGGAAGTTCCACAGCACAAGCTTAAAAATGCATTTGTGCTAACAATGCCTGCGATGGATACAGCCTTGTATCTCACATCAGATGCTATTCAAACGTTCAGTGCTGTAAGACTTACAAGTCTGTCTACAAATTCGTTAAACAGAATTAGTTTACTTAGAAAAGTCATCTGACTACCAGTTTCGTAGTTTTTCTTAACACAGCATTCAGAGCCTGATCCTTTACATGTTTACTTGAAAGAAAGTCCTGATTTCAACAGGATCTAATCCCCAATAAGGGCAATCTAATTACAGTGGTGCCCCGCAAGACGAACGCCTCGCAAGACGAAAAACCCGCTAGACGAAAGGGTTTTCCGTTTTGGAGGCGCTTCGCAAAACGAATTTCCCTATGGGCTTGCTTCGCAAGACGAAAGCCCATAGGGAAATCTCCGGTCCGCGAAGCCTGGGCGCGCTGATCTCAGCGCGCGCAGGCTTCGGCATGCCGGCAACTCTCCGCGAGCAGCGGCAGCGCTGCCGCTGCTCGCGGAGAGGTCCGCGAGCCTGGGCGCGCTGATCTCAGCGCGCGCAGGCTTCGGCATGCCGGCAACTCTCCGCGAGCAGCGGCAGCGCTGCCGCTGCTCGCGGAGAGGTCCGCGCAGCCTGGGCGCGCTGATCTCAGCGCGCGCAGGCTTCGGCATGCCGGCAACTCTCCGCCAGCAGCGGCAGCGCTGCCGCTGCTCGCGGAGAGGTCCGCGAAGCCTGGGCGCGCTGATCTCAGCGCGCGCAGGCTTCGGCATGCCGGCAACTCTCCGCAAGCAGCGGCAGTGCTGCCGCTGCTTGCGGAGAGGTCCGCGAGCCTTGGCTGGACAGCTTTTGAAGGCAGGTGGGGGACAAGACTTCGCCCCCGCCAACCTTCAGAAGAGGTCCAGGACCTCTTCTGAAGGCTGGCGGGGGGCAAAGTCTTTGTCCCCCTGCCTGCCTTCCCAGGGGCTTTAAATTGCCCCGGACAGCGGAGAAGTCCTCCGCTGTCCCGGGCAATTTTAAAATGCCGCCCGCCAGCATTTTAAGATCGCCCGGACAGCGGAGAAGCCCTCCGCTGTCCCGGGTTTTAAAATGCTGGGGGTGGGAAGAAAAGCCCTTGTCCCCCCCAGCCTTCAGAAGAGGTCGGGGACAGACTGTCCCCGGACCTGGTCTGAAGTCGGTTTCCCTAGGAACGCATTAATTGATTTTCAATGCATTCCTATGGGAAACCGTGCATCGCAAGACGAAAAACTCGCAAGAAGAAAAAACTTGCGGAACGAATTAATTTCGTCTTGCGAGGCACCACTGTAATAGTGCAGGCTTAGGGTTGGAAAAGTGGCAGATGCTGAAAAGGTGTGCTGGAAGTACTGAACAGCAGTAGAGATGTGAAATACTTAATTTTGAAATTAAGACTAGATTTTCAACAACCTGGATAGCCGTCTGCTACACTTAACAGCAAAATGGTGCGTGATAACCACAACTAACAGAAGCACCCTAAAAGATCACAAGGCAACTCATTGGTTTGCACTGGCTCAGTTTTATCTATTTATACAACACTATCTTCAGCAAGAGACAACAACTGAAAAATGCAAGGGATTTACTGAATGAGCATGAGATGTGGAATAATCACGAGTATCACAAACCTTAATCTCTGCTTGATTTACAGTTTACAAGAACCCATTTGCTCTGAATTAGTAGATAGTATCATACTATCCAAAGAGAGTCTAGGCAAAAAGAATTCAATTATAACATTTCAATAAATCTCAAGTGCTCTTTTAAAGTTGGATTTCACCATAGAGTTTAGAAATGAGCAATATTAGCATGAGGAGAATTCCCCTTAATTTTCATGTTCAAAGCAGCAACTGTATACAAATAATGTTCCTGTTACAAGGGATAAAGGAAGTGGTCCCAATTCCTTCATACAGCAAGTTTATAAATAGCTATTGGCAAAGAATAACTGTTACAGGCAACTGGACCACAGCCACATTCAGATGATCATACTTCTGCTAAATAAACGAAGATATCAACAACCCCTTTGTCAATGTACACAGCCCCTTCATGCGAACCATAATTAAACCAGGAAAATACCAAAACAGTAATTGCTTCTTGCTTTGTCTGAACTGGGAAACTATGACTACCAGTTTCAGAACAACCCAGGATCTTAAGCCATGTTCTGAATTAGATTTATGATCCTGGTTTGTTCCAAAGCTGGTAACCACCATTTCCCAGTTTGCACAGAATAGAAAACTATGTTTAGTGTCTGTTTTGCATTTAGGCACAGCAAGAAGGGAAGAGCACGTGAGCATGGCCAAAAGGCTCATTTGTATCTTGGTCCATTGAGCAGGTAAGCATCTTAGTGAGCTTCTTTGTTCATCTGGTACAGTCGTACCTTGGTTTTCGAACAGCTTAGTTCTCAAACATTTTGGCTCCTGAACACCGCAAACCTAGAAATGACTGTTCAGGTTTGCGAACTATTTTTGGAAGCCCAACGTCCAACGGGACTTCCGTGGCTTCCAATTGGCTGCAAGAGCTTCCTGCAGCCAATCAGAAGCCGTGCTTTAGAAGTCGAACGGACTTTCGGAACAGATTCCGTTCGACTTCCAAGGTACGACTGTATATACCTTCTTGGTATGACTGAATGCAATGAATGACATGAGACCAACTCATTTCAACATGCTATCTTGTACACTACATTTCCATTTGCAAGATTGGCCAGAGGCCCAGTTTACTTAATGATATCAGGAAAATAAGCTGTGGCTCCCTCCTCTTTGCACTCCTCACTTCCAATATCATAGCAAATGTTTCCTGTTACACCTCAACTCAGAAACGCTGGTTTAATTTCTGCTTAATGATCTAGTTATAGCACCATGTCACCCACATCAATCTGCACATTTGTGCTGTTACATGCGATCATCACCAGCCCCTAAACCTCTATGAACTCCACCAGGGGATACTGCTCTTCATTCTCTTTCTATAAAATAAATTTAATCTAATCTTTCAAGTCATGTTCAAGGTGTTCCTAAATTACTTACGTTTGCCCAAACCTGATCCAACTATGGACCAGATTTGGACAGACTAGTGATGGGCTGACACAACATCATCAAACAATCCTGACTGAAAAAATTCCTCAAGTGATGAATAGGTGTTCCAGTTGAGATGTAACTGTGATAATGAATAAAATGGATCTACACCAAATTCTTGGTTTCAGATTTAACTGACTAAGCAGCAATTAGCTTTTAAATCACCTATCCAATGTACATACATTAATAAGTCTAGAAAAATGTCAAGTATCAGCACACTAGTGTTTACATTACTAATCTGTCTGTATTATGTATGCATCTATAATAAGTATATACCACATACTTGATTTCAATTGTTAAAGGAAAAATGAGCTTCTATAACATCATTTTTTATATAAGTAACCAAATTATTTACCATGTTGAAGTAAGATCGGATCTTTACTCCCTTTGTCAAATCCCATACTATGACATTTCCATCATGGCCAGCAGAGAAGAGAACTCTAGGATCAAAGGGGTGACTCTCAAGTACAAATACCTCATCCTCGTGACCCTGATATTTAAAAAAGAATAGAAAACAAATTAACTAAACTGAACATGTTAAATCCAATTATTTAACATGTAGTAAGTTCTAAGCATTCCCTTAGCCAAATCCCATACAATGACATTTTCATCATGGTCATGATGAGATTCCTTACCATTTCAAAGAATCCTGATTTAGCATTACGTAAAAACCAGGAATCCTGTTATAAAGTTGGCTTATTTAGCAACTAATAATAGATTCTTATATATTATTATGAAATCCAATTTTTTTGAAACTGAGAGTGATCTCAGAAGCAGTTTTCTTCCTGGCCATACAAAAAGTGGATGAAATAGAGAGGCACTCACTGAAGCTCAACTACATAACACTAAACCATAGTTTAGTATTATATGCAAACCAGCCCATTAGGATCTATAATATTTCCAACACTTCCACCCTCCAAAAATTTGTTCTTCTATCTTGCATGATCAATATTTTAAACTATCTGAAACAATTAAAAATATATATACAACAGAAGAATTTCAGTAGGAAGGCACAGCAATCCTATAGAAAGAGGAATGTTACTTTATTTTCCTTACCATAAGGACATGAATAAGTTGCCCAGTAAAAGAGTTCCAGACTTTCAAAGTCATGTTATTAACTGCAGTAATAACAGAGTTGTCATGACGGTCCCAAGCCACCATTGTAACTTTCAGCTTTGTGATTTTGTCTTCTACTCCTTGTAAAGTTTGTCTACAATTAATGAACAAAACAGCATATAAAAATGTTAATCAGAAACTGTCAGAATTTCAGGCGTGCAAAGATTATTTTTAGAGATTTGGTCAACTTGAAAGTTGTCATGATCCTTTCACACACTAGGTACTAGATGCAAAGAGACTGCACAATAAAGCTGAACATTAAAAAAACACAGGTGGCTGAAAATTATCCTGAGAACTAGGATTACAATGATCATATATGCATAAAATCCAAAATTCTACTAACTTATCCAACACTTCAATCTCCCAGGACATTCTATATAAGATCTTAAAGTAGCTGTCTTATTGCAAAAGAATTTTAGACATATACCTGAAAGAGAAGTTGCTGAGTTACAACTCATTACCAAACTAAAAACTATGGAGATACCTGGTCTGAATAGAGATATTGGATTCAAGTCCTATTATACATTCTAAATCTAATTTTGGTCATCTATCCCTTTAAAAATACCTTGCCCTTCCCTGTGGAACCAACTGCTATCAGTAACAGTCATCAACAGTTATAAGGTTGCAGCGACCTCTGCTTCAGAGTATCTGAAGAAGTGTGTATACACACGAAAGCTCATACCTAGAAAGCTTATACTTAGTTGGTCTTTAAAGGGCTACTGGAATTATTATTTTTTTAAAAAAAATACGTAAAAATTCTTTGAAGGACGGCCTTAAGACAAAAAGACTTGATTCTCTTAAGGGAGTTCTTTTTGGATCATCTTTTAATAATTTTTTTTAATCTTTCATCTTGTTATTTATTATCCAACAATATTCATTCTTCATTCCTTTTACATTCTTAGTTGAATCAAAACATTTGTCCACAATCCCTACTATTGTGGTATGGATGGAGCCCTCACTGATTTCTAAGTGGCACTTGTCCTGTCTCCCCTGCCCTTCCTTTCCTGTTTTGTTTCCAACAGACTCCTAAATATTTCATGCCTCAGCTACTCCTAACCACATACTCAACATACTCAAGATCAAAATGGCTTACCCTGCAGGCCGAGTAGCCATATCTAACAAAATACTCTTCCACTCCCTTCTCTTGAACATCCAGATGCGTGCTGTACCATCACGACTTCCACTGACAAATCTAACAAAGAGAAAAATGCCTTTAATTGTCTTTCACAAGCAAAACGGTTTTTTGCAATGCTTTCTCTACAGATTTCACAAAAGATCATACTGCAATCTAGTAATACTTTTAAGTGCACTAGTCTATTTATGGTTTCTTGAATTCTTGACTAACAGCATTAGATGGAATCTGCAGGGCATACACAAAGTGCTGTGTAACGAGAACAATACTGCAATCCTATACATGCCTACTCAGAAGTAGACCAATGCTCAGTCCAGTGGATTTACTGGGACTTACTCCCAGGGAAATGTGCTTAGGATTGCAGCCCAACTTTTATTAACCAGCAACCTGAGTCCAGTGCCAAAGCTTCCAACCTATATAATCTGAAGCAGGGGAAGCCAATGCTGGTGCCATCTAGGTGCTGTTGGACTACAGCTGCCATTGGATTCAGGCAGCACAGGTAATGGGCAGGCACCAAGCAAAAAAGGCACTAAGGAGAAAGACTTGCTGGATAACACAGCTGGAAGAGAGGAATCATGTAGAGGCAGAACAGAAGCCTGCAGAACACAAGGTCAGGATTATGCAAGAGAGCTTTTTAAAAAAAAAAAAAAAACCTCACATGGGGATGGAGCAAATATTTTTAAAAGCATTTTTCCCTCCCTAGTATATATTTTATCTTCTAAGGGCTGCTCACTTTGTTTGCCAAACCCACCTATCCACCTCCGATCACCTTGCCAAAACCATCCCCTTCTGTTACTCCTTATCAAAACCATTCTCCCCCTGCTCACCAGCACACACACCCTTTCAGCTTGCCAAATCCTTAGGCCATGGGTGGGAAATGATTTTGGTTCCATAGGGGTCAAATTTGATAGGCATTCCTTATGATATACACAAATGGTTAAGTTGCTTACCGATTACTAGTGTTAGAAAACTGAATGCTGTCCACTTTGTCCTGTGTGAACAAGAAAAAAATTAACATCATGACTACAAGATGCCAAAGCACTTCAAACAAATAGCTAAGCAATTTTGAGGAGGTATTTACAGTATGAAACTCCAACTCTGATATCTTCTCTGGCTGACCTGATCCAAAGTAATAAACCCTAATGATGTGATCTGTACTTCCAGTGGCCAGAAACATTCCACCTAAAGGAAACAAAAAGTACCACCATCATCATAATATTCTATTTCTCAATTAGACAATCTTCCATCTCACTTGCCAATGTCTGCTCCAGTGTACTGATCATTATGGACATGGACAAAAAAATCTTAACACCAAAACAATAATACTTTTACTCAACCACTATCCAAATCTATATTGAGATTCAATGTTTCTAGACACAATTATTAGATACTTCACCTGAGCACATATTTTAGCAATTAAGCTTTCATAGGCAGAAGAGGATAAAGGTACAGTATATCATTTATGTATCATTTAAGAACGCTGCCACTTAATGGAAAATCACAAGACTTTCTCTCCTTACAAGATGGCCTTCAACAAATCCTTTGCTTACTGTTTACAATTCAGACATCTAGAAATCAGCATCAGGATGCTACTTAGCAAATTCTACTGCTACATTTTTTAAAGTTATGAATATGTCACTAATACGGGGTTTGAGAGGAGGAGCACTTTACCAGCACTAAAAGATGAGCAGATCATTTGGACTCCAGGTCTTGGACGCTCTGTAAACTTTGTTGGTCTTGGACTGCAAGGTTAAAACACACAGTTAAAACCATGACCAGAACCTAAGACAGCAACTGAATTAGTCAGTAGCTCATAAATAAAGGCATTAATCTAAATGAGAAGGAGGACTTAACTAAAATAGAGTTCATCCTACTCTCTTAGGCCAAGATATATTCTGTCACTGGAAGCTCAGGTTGCCTCAGTGGCTAGAACTACCTGCAATTGGTTCAACAGCTACAGCTATTCCTAGACAGGGAAAGTCGAGCCCCAAAAGTTAAAGGATTGGTAATTTCAAGACTCATTGTGGGGTTTCCCATGTTTTGATCCAGAAGCTGCAGATAAAGCAGAACACTGCAGCAGGAATGAGACCTGTCAGCATATAGCACCTGTGTTCAGAGACCTGCACCAGTTGCCAATTTGCTACCAGGCCAAGTTCAAGGTGTTACTGCTAGTATATAAAGCCCTTAACAACTTGGGGCCAGTTTACCTGTGAGACCTCCTTACCCCATATTCACCTACTCAGCAGCTTCAATTTGCAGAACTGGCATATTTACAGGTATCACAAAGTACCCACTTTGGAACTCCTTGGCTATTGGTATCAGGCATGCACCTTCACTGTACTCTTTGTACAAAACATTTTTGTTTAGATAAGTCTACCCAGATATTGAGAGTGCTGGTGCATATTTTAATCTGTTTTTAGTTTATTAGTGATCTCTGTGAAATAGGTTGCAATCAGCAACCAACTCCATGCAATGTTAATATGGGGGCAGGGGTAGGGGGGGAGTTTTTTAAAAATAAATGATGGCATGGTTTTTCTCTTGCAGTACTTCACCAACTGCTTGTTATAAATCAAAGTCTCATTCTTTTCATAATTGCAAAAATCACCATGCTGTGCATCAGAATCCAAGATTTCATAAAATTATTATTATTATGCTTTATAATGATGGAAGTAGCTGGGGTTTTTTCTGATACTAAATCTATACACAAGCCCTAGGCCTGGACAACATGTAGGAAATCTTCTTTAATTATATTCCCTGGGCAATATTGTAGGATTCAAATTAGGATAATGAAGCAAACTCCATTGTAACAGAAAAGCAAAATACAACCTTACCGAAGACAGGTTTTTATAACAGTATACGTTTTAGTTCCTTTCACAGGGATCTGAACAGTACTTTGTAGTAATAAAATAAAGGCTGTGATGCATTAGAAACCACATCTGTGTGTTGGGTATTGTCAGTATTTTCCAGAGCCATGCCTTTTTATTTCTTTTTGAAAGGACTACAAAGTCATTTCATAAACTGTCTACTCTTTGCCTACAGCAACTTCAAACTTTCCCCTGCACTACAGGTACATTGGTGTTTGTTGCAATAAATATGAAAGATGTGACAGGGAGACAAGTCTCCAAACATACAGTGGGTACATGCCCTAGAGCTACAGCCACATTGTGAATCCCGGGTATATATCCCAGGTACATTCTCCGAGTTTCAATACACAAATCAAGAATCCCATCCTTTCTTATGCTCTAATATATGAGAAAGCCAATCAAGGGTTGCTAACATAAATCAGTGGCCTATTGAAGTCAGTTTCATTAAGAGTATTTCCTGTATAAGAACACATACTATAGTGGTTAAAAAACGTATTGCTTTGTAATTAAATAGATCTGTCATACAGCATACAGGCACTATCTAAAACCTATGCCCGTGCTACCTACCTACATTTTGCTCTATAAAAATGTAGACATTTACAGTGAGGGTGGAGAACTGGGTATGGCCAAAGGGCTAGATTCTTATCTTCCTCCCTCATGGCCCAATCTGACAGGTGTCTAAGGCTGCCCATCTGTTAATCACCCAATGTCACAAAGACGTCCAGTAGAGTCATTGATTTACCAAAGAGGTTACATTAGTAGCCTTAACATGGATGTTTACATTCAGCTCAGACATTTTGAAACATTTTTATAATAAAAAGATACTGTAACTAAAATTAGTAAAATAGTAAACAGACTGTGTTTAAATGCTGCATCATCATTTCAAAAGTAGTAATGGGAGGAGACTTCTGAACCCTAACACTGAAGATTCATGGCTTAGGCAGCAATCCTACACATACTTAACTAGAAGTTTAATTAAACTCAATGGGACTTGAATAAGAATAAACTGCAAGTCTATAATCCTAAGAACATCAACCAAGAAGCATGCCTCACTGAAGACAATGTAGCTTACTTATGAATGAACAGGCATAGGATTTTCTGTTATGCTAGTATGAATCCTCTGCTACTTTTTCTGATATATAGAAAGCAATATAAATTATAATATTAGCACCGACACACACAGAAACAACCTAGGGCAGAATTCTATGGAGCTTCCTTTACTTCTACTGTCCCCTCCAGACCCCAATGCACACACAAACCACCTTTGGAGAGTTTGGGGGGAGGGGAGAGAATAAGAAATGCTCACCAGCGCAGGATAGTTTGAGGATATTGCACCAATCCTGACCCGACTTCAATGGCTGCCAATTAGTTTCTGGGCACAATTCAAAGTGTGTAGGCTTTGACCTACACAGCCTTAAATGGCTGCGTACCTTAATACTTTAAGGATCACCTCTTCCAACATGAACCAACCCAGACGCTGCAATCATCATCTGAAGCCCTTCTTTGTGTGTCTCCTCCACAAGAGGTCTGAAGACTGACAACACAAAAATGGGCTCTTTCTCCAGCGGCTTCCTGTTTGTGGAATGCTCTCCCTAGGGAAGCTTCCCTGGTGCCTTCTTTAGACACCAGGCAAAAACCTCCTTCTCCTAGGCCTTTGGCTATTTAAACAATCTATGGCCTTTTAAACTGTGAGGGGGTATGGTTTTGTTTATTATATAATGTAGGTTTGTGCTTTCATTCTGTAAACCATCCTATGATCTTCAGGTGAAGGGCAGTATATAAATTTAAACAACAACAACAGTAAAAGCCCATAACTTCCCAAAGCCACCCATTATCAACTGCAGTGTTTAATTCCACAGTGTGCTTAATACCATACAAGAGAGAAACTAACTTTATTTTAAGTGTACCAGCATCCCATAACCAAAAGCAAATAGTGCCATCAGCCCCAGTTGAAGACAGGTATCGCTTTGAGCCGCTGCATAGTGGTGAAAACTGCAAAACAAATAAAGCTATTTATAATTCTTGATTTTTAGCAAACAGTGAAAACAAGTGATCCAAATGATTCAGTATAAAGTCAAATTTCTATCATAATTACCACTTCTATAAAAAGTTACTTAATCAGCCACATGCATAAGTCTGTCAGAAAGATCTTCACTGCAGGCAGAAGAACGCACGCACACACACACACAAAATCACAAATAATATTCCTTCTCCCCTGCCATTGTCTTTGTTCAGAACAGTTAAAACCTATACTGTTTCAAACAGGAATGCAAAATAATCCACTTAACAATTCACACATAAGAATTTGTCTAGGCATTTGATATCTGACTGAGCAGCCCTGCCTTGTTTAAGTCAAGTGTCATAGATATCCACAAGTGAGAAGATAACATTAATAATGCTCAAATCATGCCATAGAAGGAAGCAAACTGTTACCTGTAGTGATGTTATGGATGCACTGTGGCCTTGCAAAACTGCCAAAGGGGCGCATGTTCGGAGACACCACACTCTGATCATTTTGTCACAGCTCCCTGCAGCAATCATGGTATTCTCATAATTAACAGCCATGTCCGATATTTCTGCTGCATGTCCTCTTAAAGTAGCAAGCAACCTTCCATCATCTGTCGCCCAGATTTTCACAAGACAATCATCAGAACCCTTAAAACAGATTAACCACAATTACTGCCCAATTGAAGCTCATGGCACTTAGCTGGTTTATGAGCTTAGCTAGTTTATGAGACTCCAGTACCGATTTCATATGGATCCTAATACGGACCCTAATATACACTCATTTGGATCCAAGCAACCCCTTCTGCAAGGAAGTTTGCTTCTGATTCCTATTCAGTCATTGTACCGAATGTGAATCTCTCCTCCCTGCCCTGCCCTAAATAGCATCACACACCTTCCTTCTACAGCAGAATTAGACATATATATTTCAACAACTGCAAAAGTTACACATGCTAAAAATTAAGAAACAGCAAAACATTAATGATATGATGGCAAAGCTACAGAATTAACGCAATTAAATTGAATTCCAAACACTGCATTAAATGCCAGCATTTCTGTTAAAATAAGCCTTTAGGAACTATTTACTGCATTATGTTAAGAAAGATTTCTTATCCCTAGTATCATTTACAAGTTCTCAGTGCTGGCATAGGTAATTCATGGAGAAGAAGAAAAACCAAAATCCTTTTAGTCTGATTGCCTACTTTTAATTATCACTTTCGCTGAGATCTAAGCATTACAACATTAAGTCTGACAGCAAATTCTCTTAATAAGGGAATGTATGAAAGGAAGTTCAGTGACACCTATACGGGCCTATCAAGAGGGGAGAGTAGCCTACATCTTTCCCAGTGACCCCATACATAAACAACTTCCAGCACGGCGCTCTGTTCACTAGAGCAGAATAAGCAAACAGGAAGCAACTGAAATTGCCAACACAACCATCAATTATCATGATCACCAGAACAAAAGGGCTCAAGCCCATCTAAGCCTTCCCCCAAAACTCCAAAAATTGGGGGGAGGAACAGAGAGAGCAATACAAAGTGCATATAGCCATGACTGTGTCTGGGGGCAGGGGAAGTTGAACCCATAGTTTAAAGTTACTAATACAAATATTGCCACCACTACTTTTAACCTTTTCCAGCAATCTTGCATTTTATGTTGCCATGCAGGTAGGAAATGCTGCAAACTTCCACTAGGATTGTTGCTATATTAGGCCTAGAAGTGGCATCAATATTCCAATGTTTTATCCAAACACTCTGCATGGCACCTACAACAAGAGCTGCATTAAGAGTCAGTCCCCCCCACCATCCAACTGTGTTTTTCAATCAAGTTGTTGGGATCCTGCACCCTCTGCTGGTTCATATAAGGCACTGCACAGTTACAAGCAATTTAGTTAAGGCCTGCGGTGCAAAGAGTGGAAGAAAAAGGGGCAGGAGACAGTATTAGCTGCTTTTGTGGGGAGCAGGGAAGACACCAGAGTTGTCAATTGGGGAGTGAACGGAGAAATGGCAGAAATCAATGCTCTAGTTGCATCTACAGCCAGGATGGCTGAAGCCCTTCCAGGAGACAATCTGACTGCTCCTGATGAACAAGTACAATGGGTGAGGAAGTCATCGAAAATTTCACTGCAGCCATTCCTCAGACAGTCCACTTGGTTTTGACCACTAAGATATGCTTTACAGAAGAGGTGGCCTTAGGAGCTTCCCTTGCCAAGAGTTGAGCAGCAGGAAGGCAAGGGGCAAGTCTGAGAGGAGAAAGGCATAGGAATAGAACGATCTCTCTCTTCTTTTTTACATAAAAAATGATAGCAGCAACTGAGAAGAAGCAAAGACAAAAATGGCAGGAAAAATAGAGTAATACAAGGAAAAAAACCATTTCTCTGAGCTTGAGAAATAAACACAATGGAGGAGAAGAAACTGGATTGTTCTGAGTCAAGAAATGAGATGAAGACTCAGCTGATGAGGAAAACTTCAGCAAACTTATGATATGTGGTTTCCTGCCTTCCAAGCAGCAGGAGGATACATAACCCATTTGGATACCTACTACATCCAACTGAAATGGGAATTATTCCATGTTATCCTCCAGTCACTTCCAATCAACCTTTAATCTTTCCTATCCAGAACAACAGGTCGAGAAAAACACAGAAAGTCCATCATCACCTTCACTAACCCCAGGTTGATCCTAGGTGATAAAGAGGAAAGTGAAATAACAAAGCTACGATACTTTGGAGCGGCAAGATGACTCACCAGATGTTCCTCTCCTAGAGTCATAAGTCTGAACTGCAACTGCAGTAAGATCTTCCACACAAACAGAAAAATGATACAATTTTTCACCTCAATTAACTGCTAAAGCCAGACATCAGCCACCCTGGGCAGCTTCCAAAAAAAGATTAAAAATACATTAAAACGTCAAACATTAAAAACTTCCCTAAACAAGGCTGCCTTCAGATGTCTTCTAAATGTCAGATAGTTGCTTATTTCTTTGACATCTGATGCGACAGCGTTCCACAGGGTGGGCGCCACTACCGAGAAGGCCCTCTGCCTGGTTCCCTGTAGCTTTGCTTCTCGCAGTGAGGGAACCGCCAGAAGGCCCTCTGCACCCTACCTTTCATCCACTCGGAAAAGGAAGAGGAATAAAACGCAACCAAGGGCACACGTGACAGAAGAAATAAACACCATAGCAAAACAAGCAGAAACAGACCATGGAGTCCCTTCTCTCAGTTAAGTTCATTATGAATTTCCTGCCTCCAGCGGGAAGTTCCTGCTTCCAAAATGTCCCTCTGTTTATATCCAGGTAAAATATTGTTTTTCGCAACTATTTCCAAAGAAAGCAGGTCTTCTTGTCAAAAGAAGACTATGAGGCTGGCCTGTACCACCACAGAAAGTATTACATTCGTCCTGAAATAGGACTGCTGAGACCAGCACCTCAGAAGAGGCTCCACAGAACCACCCCCCCTTCAAGAGCACCATAAGAGAGAGAAATGTAGAAATTTTGTGCTTAACGAGATGAATTAACCTTTTGCCATAAGCTACCTGCTTTGCATCATAGTAATGTGTACAGTACATCATCCTTAAAGATATATTTAAACATTTTTATGACTATGCACATTTTCATGAATTTGCACTTACAGTGAATATCCGTCTGCCTGTTCGGTCAAACGTTACACAATATACCGAAGACAAATGTCCTAGGATTCGCTTGTGCATTTTCATATGTTGATATACAGCAGTTGGAACAAGTTGTTCAAGCCTGTATTTTCCATTTAGTTTTCTTGAAAAGAGAGTTTCAGCTATTAAAAAAAAAGCATTTTGTATGTCAGTCAGGTGGCTATCCAGAAAGAGGCAAATATCATTCCTAAAGCAATACAAAAATGGTTCCTAAATAGTTCCTTTTTGGACAGTAAAAAGTTGACCACCAGTGATCCCCCAATTCTTTCACTGTTACTATTCAATAGGAAGACAATAAATTTGGGAAGAAACAGATTATGACTTCCTCTTGGCCATTTTCTATACTAACTTGCAAACATGTCATCTTCTCCAAGCTCCCAAGTACCTTTTTGCACAGAAACTACTAACTACAAGAAAGGGAAGCAATTTGGACTTGCTACCTAGACTGATGGGCAAAAAAAGAAGAGTGTAAAGAGAAAGCATGCATGCAGAAATAATCCTGTAGGCACAGAATTAGATGTTCATTAGATGTACACTATAATCAAATGTCTGGCAGTGCTGAAGTCTCCCAGACACTGGGATGTGATGGTTACAAACACGTGCAAAGGCATCTAATCAGCTATTTTGAATACGTAGATGCCTTCCTAAAGCCTGAAATCAGATGTCATACCAGGATTTATGAGCACTAGGACTAACATACAGAAAAATTCTAAGTGGTAGAAGTAACACACACCACAGCAACAAATAGCCACCAAACCTTACTGACATAAATCCAACTGCTGCACTAGCAATGTTACACACTTATTTAGTAAGACTCTTACCTATACTAGGTGGACTGCCATAGTTTACTGGAGACTCTGGAGGTCTTCCACAGTGCAATGCAGCAAGAGCAGATCCCTTCCACACCACATGCTTGCAGCCTATTTGATTATATAAAATAAAATATAAACATAGAAACATAACAAAATAAGTGTACAAGTCATTTTGGGGGTGGGGGAACCATACTTTTACTTGTGCGAAGCAAAGACTGTCTTCCAGCTCCTAATAATGTTTGGACTCCTGGAACGCTCTGAGGAATTTCTTGCTCTAGAAGTGGTCCTAGTCGATGGCATATCTGAAGCAGGTGATCAGGTGCCAAGTGTCTATAGTATTTTACCTGTTAAGAAGAAACCAGGAGTTAAATATCCAATATTCTTCTGTTAATTTAGAAAAGTATCGGGGGGTGATGTTTTGAAAAGAGGACAGTATTTGACACCTGAAATGCTTCTATGATTTCTAGTATACACAACAATGAAAGCAGTATTTAAAGGAGGACTCACATGAACACACAAATAAAATCTAGACTGATTTTTCCCTAACCTCATGTTTAAAATATTTATGAATTTGAAAACAAAATTATTTGAATCACTACAGAAATAGTATTGAATACGCAGTATCATAATGAGTCAATTTGAAAACAAGGTGACATATTTTAGAAATAGTATTTAGCATTAACATTAAAATGTTTTGATAGTTAAAACACTGCACATACATAGGTCTGATTCATTTAATATGAATGAGTGTGCTAGTACACACTGAAGTTCCCTTGACCACCTCCCTTACTCTGGCTGCCTCACAGTCTGGTTTGTACTGCTGTCCGAATCCAGGCTTGTGGTCTGTTTCTCTACAAAGTAGGAGCAGTTACCAAAGTCAGTTCTACCAAACCAGGGATTGCGGTTTGTTTCTCGTCAAATCTTAAGCCATGGGTTTGTTGCTAACTTATAGATCATGACTTATTAGGGAGAAACAAACCAAGATCCTTGGGTTTGGACATAATGGAAAGCCAAGGCTTCCTGGATTGTTTACTGCACCAGAGGAGAAGCAAAGAAGGAGTGATCGCACAATGTGAACTAGCACACTGTTTATTTATAGTATACCACAATAAGCCAGAAACCCTGGCTTACCATTACATGCAAATGCAGCCAAATTTGGATCTGCAAAGACAGAACTGTGTACTCTTTATATCTCAGCAGGAAAACTTTTCCGCACTGTATTTTCCCTCTCAGTATGAACCCCATCATGCAATTCATGCACGTCTTGTTCAAATACTCAAACAGTATCAATTGTGATGATACTCTTTTTAACAACGGGTTTTCCCAGATGACTAGTTTATTATATATTAAAAGAATATTTTTTCTAATTTGTGTGCACATCTGCATGTCTTTTCTCTCAATAGCACTTAAGTTACAAGGTTATTATATTCAGAATGCAGAAAAATGCAGTACTCCTCCCCAGATAAAAATGTTCATTATTATTTTAATTGCCACATGAAAATGTCATTATCCAAGTTCATCAATCTACAGGAGACAATTTATGACGTAATCAGTGACAAGCAACCCAGCTTTCTCCCTTCTCACTGAAGTAGTTGCACAAAAGATAATCTTTTTTTTAAAAAAGCTCACTTTTTGTTTTTAAAGGGTCCTCCTGCCCCCTACCTTGCCTTTGTAGATGGGTGTTTTTCTCACTGCACTTTTGTCAATTGCTGCAGAATGACACATCTAACAGACTATTTTTTAATAAAAGAAAAAGAAAAAGGTGGCACACCTCCCCCTTTCATACTTATATAGTGCACAGGAGAATATTTTGCTGTACTCACCGAAGTGAATGGATAAAAACCAATTGGGGCATGATTTGAATTAACACAAACTGCTGGATTTAAAGGACATCACTAACTTTTTAGTAAGAAATTAAATTAAATTTACAACAAGCTCTGGCCACACTTTGCGTAACAATCAATCAAAACCAAAGTTCTAGAAGTGAAAAATTACTTCTATTTGCTTTTCTCACTACCAGTTATAGCTTCTAGAGAAAATTTAAAAGGTTTCTCCCTTTTCTTTTAATTCAGTTTTTCTATCATATATATATAAATGCCTTTGTGATTGTGAATGAGGCTTGTCAGTCAACAGGCAAGCAAAATTTTAGAAGAAAGTAAGGCACCCAATAAGGAGGAACAAAAATGTATTTTTAATGTATTCCTCTAGAGCCTTACTTTAGTATTAACAAGCAAGAAAAAGGACACTAGTAACTAATATTATTATAATTATTATATTTATATTCCACTTTTCACCCAGAGACTTTAGCGACCCACACAAATTAAAATACTGATAAAATATGAAAGATTAAAAACATATTTAAGATAATCCTTAAAAAGTAAGTAAATGCAAATTGAACTAAAACAATACATAAATAGTAACTGTTCTTAAAATAGCATGTCAGATGTTAGATTTTTCCAGTACCATATCTTTTACAATGAAACGTGGAAAACAGTGACCAAAATAAGAGGTTAAAGCATCACCCCTGTAAGGAAGAGCTACAGTGTTTTAGTTTGGGAGGATTAAGAAGTGAGGTGTGACATTTGAATAAACTTATGCAGTGTAGGAAAAGCTGATAGAGAAATGATTTTGTCCTCTCTCCTAATACTTGATCTCAGGGCCACCCAACAGAACATACTGGTAGTACATTCAGAACAGGCAAAAATAAAAAAACTTTTATATAAAACACATGATGGAACTATGAAATTCACCGCTTCAAGATAATTAGCATGGCTTCAAAAAGGTTTACTATCCCTCCAATAGGAAAACCATACCTACAGCAATAGAGACAAATTGGAGACACTGAGGGGAAAAAAGGTGAAGATGTAGCATGATTGCAGAAGGTACAAGAGAGACCTCACAAGAACAGAATGAGGACTGAGCACACTCAGTATACACCAGAAACTATGGAAAGAGTGTCAAATGGGGGGAGGGGACGCAAAATGTTGGGGTAACAAAATTGGCCTCTATGAGCCCTTTACAGCTTAGCACTCTGGAGAAAGTCATAGAGAGTCATGGGGAACTCAACAGCAGCACTCTTGTTAGAGGTTGAGGAAACACCCAAACTCGTTTTGTTTTTTAAAAAACTTGGTCAAGGATCTGACGAACAAGAACTTGAGTAGCCTTCATTACAGTTCCTTGTGAATAGGTGATAGTTTGCTTCAGCTTTCAGAAATGCAATCTCTGAAACTGAGAAGGTGAAAGATGAGTGAAACATTAGGGTTAGGAGCAGCCTTCTCCTGCCTCCCCCCAACCCTGATACTAAGTGCTATAATGCTTCTGAATTTATAGGATCCACTGAGAAATCCTGGCTAAAAGCTGCTGACCTGCTCTGAAGATCCTCCAGCATATGCAGCAAATACTCCAGGCCCAAAGAGGTCAAGTTAGAGACGTCAAGACCCATGTTGGGGGGGTGGGCGAGATACAGAGTAGGGAAGAATTATTTCCCCTCCAAAATAAATTTTAAATGTTTCCAGGGGAAATGTGGGGAGAACACTGTGGGTGAGTGTCCTATGAAATATGCTTTTCTTTTCAAAGATGATCCCTTCCACCTCTTCCCTCAAAATGACTGTGACAGACACCTGGCTACAAACTGGGAAACAAGTAAGTTACTGCCCTGGCTTGCTAGATGATTTAAAAAAAAGGTCAGGAAAAAGGTGGAACAGGAACTATGCGTTCCAGAGCCTGAAAGGAAAAATCTGGAAGTTTGAGTAAGAACTGAGCACCAACCACAGAAGTAGACTAAAATTTGGGATATTTGCAGTTCACCATTTTAAATTTCATTAAAAACATATTAAATGGTGCAATTTTATATTCTAAGTTATGATACATTTTATTTTGTTAAAGCAGAGAGGTTTTGTTTTATAAAAAAAATACTGCATAAACTTCCACTTCTCCTAAGGTTTCCCCTGCCCCTTTGAAAAACTGCAAAAAACAAACAAAAAAAAACTTCTGCTTAATCAGCAATGAAACAGAGTTCTTCCAGGTCCCAGCTGTGCAGGAGTTCTCTGTAGGGTTGTTGTTCTTCCAAAGCATACCCTGGGGTCCTTGTCAGGCGAGAACCTTAGAGAAGACCACATGCCCCTCAGTCTCATCCGAAATACCTGACAGACTATCCTCTTGAGATCTGACATTGTTGGGAAGGAAAGTCTGCTCTTAATCTGAAGGAGAAAGGTCTGAAAAGTCCAGCAAACAGTAGTAACCATGGCAGTCTTGGAAAGAATGCAGTCTATCTTGTCCATCTTATCTTTGTGATGGTCCTTGTTATCAGCAAGATAGTATGAAAGGAAATAGTCATCCACCTGAAAAGAAATGCATTCTCCAACAACCCATGGTTGCTCAGCAACAGATTTAGAGGTACTCATTGTTAGCAGAGGTAGAGATCCCCAGAAGTGGAACAAGTATTGGACCACAGTGCAATCAGCATCCCATCTGACCAAGAAGCCTGCGAGATCATCATCCTCTCCCAGAGATCAACTGCTGTAGGAATGATGCCACTGTGTACGCCCCACTGCTATGCTAAAGTTCAGAGGCAAGAGTACCTGATTCCATACTTCTCTAATTACTTATTCTGGGAATGGTTGCTATGCTATGAGGAAATATTTCCAAGGGGAATCTTGCAGGCCAAAATGTGTGGAAGAGTATGGACATTTCAAGGGCCTCATACCACAAAGAAGAAATTATGAGTTTCCCACAACCTACTCCCCAGCCTTGATGAGAATCATGTGATGATCGCTGCCACAGAAATCTGTGGAGTAAACAGGACTCGCAGAGTACCTTGCCAAGAGCACTCACCAGATAGAAAACTGAGCCCACAGTCAAACAGCTTTTTCAAAGACATAAAAGGAGCCTCATGATGGCCAAATCATGTCCAGAAAGAAGCACAACAACAGGTGAACAGAAAGGAAGTCTTAGCTGTTGTGTCAGTTCACAAGCTATCAGCCTCTGGATCCAGTTAGTCAGCCAGCTGGATCCATCCTCCTCCTCCACAGATCCATAGACATGGGTGGTAATTTGAGCTGTGCAGAAGGACAATGTGCATGACTGAGCATCATCTGATTAATCTATTCATCATGAATTCTGTCCATGCTTTCAGTCTGAAAGGGCAACAGAGGCAAAGCCTGTTGCTGTGACTGAGGCCATTGCCATGAGAATCAGGCATGATCAATTACCTGATGGGAACCATGTTCCAACTAGTATGAGAGAAAGGCTGTATCCAATGACACCATCCTGAACTTCTGAGGTTAGAAATCCCAAAATACTTCAAATAAAAACTGTAGAGTTAAAAAGTACTTGCTACCAATTCAACTGCTTCCTTGCAGGGAATAATTTTTATCCTTTCTTTAGCTGTGAAGGTAATCCTGGGTGGAAAAAAATTCTTTGGGGCTGGAGGGAAGAACTCAGTCATGTGCCCCATGAAAATTATAATCAGTACCCATTTGCCAGTGACCAGGGGAACTGAAGGAATCAGGGTAAAAATACTGGACCATTAGAGTGAACTAAATTACAGCAAGTCTGGAGCTGCAACATCAGATGATTACTAATCAATCTGGTAGTAGCTGATCATGGGTTATAAGGTAGCATACTTTTTTGTGGAGAGGTGTTATTCACCCATAGTGTCAACATGGAACTTTTAAAAGCAGCAGTTGAAAGAATCACAGCATCAGTAGTAAAGCTCAGGGACAGGACATTTTCCATCACCGTCCCCCCAGAACCTTCATCAGGCCCCCGTCATCAGAAAACGCTAGGAGTTGCTGACTGTCCAGCTGCCCATGTGAGAAGATGCTCTATTCTCTTGGGAACTGAAACATCTGGTACTCCCTGGCCCTGATTTATAGGTAACAAACAAGGGAGGGGTCTACTATCCTCTATGGTTTCCATGGAACCTTCAGAGAACAGCAGTTGAAACAGACACAGAAGTGGCAACATCTAAGGCCCAGGAAGAGAACATGTGCCATCACTGTTCCCCCTCTTCCTTTCTAAATAAAAGTCAGTCTTTCCTCTTTAAACAATCTTATTAATTTGTTAATATATATCAGTTTTCATCTACTTTCAGATACCTTAGAAGTCTATTGTCAGTCAGGAAGACAGGATACAAATATATAACACTGATCAGGTTCCCAAAGAGTGTGACAATTCAAGCATCAAAACATCTAGACCAGGCAAAGGCAACCTTTGGCTGTCCAGATGTTTTGACCTACAACTCCCATGATCCCTAGCTAACAGGACCAGTGGTCAGAGATGTTGGGAACTGTAGCCGAAGGTTGGAGGGCTGAAGGTTGCCTATGCCTGATCTAGACAAATGCATAGGTCCTTCATGGGTGGAGGTTTGAAAGTATTATTTCCTTGTCAATAAAAGTTAAAGTATTTTTTACTATGGGGGAGATGCACACATAATCATAAAAATAAACATAACTGATATCAATTAGTTTGCATGAGAAAAGTATAACCACAACTGGAACTATCATTTGGAGTGATGAAATTTATTCTCCTTCTAAGCACTCAATTCATTCTTGAAAATGTGGTACTGTATTACAAGTGTGCAAATAACAACAGCATCTAAATATCCCCATACATCCCCTCAAGCACTTTTGTGCATGCTCCAAGATTTCTGCAACTGATACTTCTGATTATAGCTCCTGGTTCTCCAGCATTTGGAAGTAGCTTCTCAGCAAGCATGAACTGGTGGTGGCAGAGGAGCTTCCTGCACAGTTATTAGCTCTCACCCAACCTGCTTTTAACAAAAAAAATTCATAGACACTTTTGTTGCAAGTATTGAATTTGCAACAATGAATCTGAACCAGTTTAAACTTATTTTAAGTAGTTAAACTAGTTGTTTTTTAAATGTAGTTTTACTCCCAAGAATTTGTAAATTATAGTAATAGAAACAGACAATTAAAGAAAGCAAACAAGAAAACCATGAGTAAATGAAAACATGGCTCTGGTGTATGCATAGTTTGAAGCAACAAACCATAGTTAAGATTAACAAAAGTTTAGGATTTAGACATAATGACAAGTTGTAAGTAATCAAAAATGGAAGCAAAAGCTTCCTTAGAGCCATGCCAGAGGAGAGGGAGCATACAAGTTCAAGGCTCAGTGTAGCTCATTCCTATGATAACCAAGCACAGCCACTAAAAGCATTAAAACCAAAAAGTGAGAAGATGCTTCCAAACAGATGAAATCAGAAAAAGGTTTAGGGGAAAACAAAAAACAAAGAAACTCAGTATGATTTTAAGGTAAACATAGACACAAAGCTAGAAGTAAAAGTTAAGAAAATACTGAGTATAACACACATAAAATATGGTGGTTGTCACTAGCTTTAGATGACATTATAAGGGATCACACAAATTTGTGGTTAACACATCTAAAAGGATTATAATTGTGATAAACTGAATCCCCATTTTATAGGCAGCAACTAATAGGAGAGGAGGCTGCAAACCATGCAGCTGGTCACTACTTTAAATAGAATGCAGGACGATAGACTCTGATCTGGACTGGTCCAGAAATATGACTAGGGTTATAATACTTACTGGAAAGTAGGGACAAAGTGAGGCATCCAAACATGGGCTTAGGAACTTTCACAGCTATAATAATCAACATGAGAGGAGCTGTAAACAAGACCTGGAAGAACAGGACAACTCAAGAGCTTCTGTATGAGGTCTGATGTAGTGTGGGTATGCAAGCAGTGCCCAGCAGTGTAATATGCAGAGCTTCACAATAGAAAAGTTGAAAGGGCAGGGTAAGTGTAAATAAGGGTAAGTGTAAATAAAAGCATTTATTACATTATTTCATATTCTATTTTCTGGTCTACACAGATATTCAAGACAGGCCACAATTTTTTTTAAAAAAATCTTTTTAAAAAGATCTAAACAATGAACAATTCAATCCATTTAAAAACACAATAGATAGTAGGAAAAGAAACCATGCAATAGAACATGCAATTTTCAAAAACTTTCTGCAGCTTGTTATTACCAATCTCATCCTCAGTTGCTACCACTGAGAAAGTCCTTAGCCTTGAAGCTACCAGCCTCACTCTAAAAGAAGAAAATGTTACCAACTTCCTTATTCCCCCACGATCTCTCTTTTTTCTCAACAAGGAAATGCAATTGCTTTAGTATTTCATTGCAGAGGAAGTGCTCCAGCCCTTAAATCAGTTTAGGTGTTTTTTTCCATATCTTTTCCTGCTCTGTATATGCTTTCTGAGAAATACTTAACACGCTCACTCAAAATCAAAGTGCAAATAAATTAACCTGGCTCCAATCCAGTATGCAAAATATATACAGCTAGAAAATACTATGCCAGCGACGTCATAACAAGAATGCCAAATGCTATAACCTTTTCTTCCCCTAAGCAATCTTATAGCACAGACGGAAAAGCAACTATCGTGAACTTCTAAACAAATATTTCTTTCCCAACACAACTCTACACCTATCATAGAAGGGTCATATATGACTCATCCTCAATGTTGTGCTAGCACAATTAGCGAGTGCATTTACCACTGCCAAGAGTCTAATTTAATTCTTACTATACTTACAGATGTGTGCCAGAAAATTGTCCACTGATATATTTTTCTGACAGAAAAAAATCCATTTCTAAAAAGGCATTGTTTCATAAAATTAATTAATAACATAATGAATGGATATAATACATGTAAACTGAATGGTTTCTGATGTGTGATAACATTTTTCAGACAGCTTCTTTACATGTTCCAGCCACACATTCTATCAAAACATGGGTGGGAGGAGCAGTATTGAATCTGCCAAAATGTGCCTAACTTTCACATTTTTAGCAGAAAGTCAAAAAAGGCTTTACAAACAAGAATCTGTACTCCCAATAAGGGTCCCCAGTCTACACAAACAGATCCCATCCTTGCCTTCCATTGAATGAATGACCATTTGGCAACCAAGTTAGGGAAGCAATGTTTAGAAGCATTCGGTAGTGTCTAGATTTGCATTCTACACTTGGGACATGTAGCTTTATCAGATAGTTATTTAAATCATTGGCATTCCCAAGATTGAATTTTTTTCTCTAGTATCAGAGGTGGCAGGCCTCTGAATGCCATTTGACGGGGAACACAAGTGACAGGAGTGTTGCTGCAGGCTTCCTAGAGGAATCTCGTTGGCTACTATGTGAACAGGATCCTGGACTAGATGGGCCTTTGAGCCAGCAGGGCTTCTTATGTTCTTACACTTACCTATTTTTTCAGACAATTAAACATATCCTTCTAGTTTATGGAAGAACAGGAAAACTGCAGAAGTGCTCAGAAACCTCAGTGAGCAATAGGAATCCAATACATTAAGTGGCACATTAAAAGCATGCTCGCAAATAATTCCCAAGTCTAGTAACATCTCACAGGCACAGGAGCTTCAATGAACAAGCAGAGTTCTCATACCAGTACGGTTTCTAAAGCTCAATTCAAAAGAAGCAAACATTACTGATACTCATGAATTGCTGTGCCTTCCGCTGAACTGACTGGAAAGCTTATTCCTACAGGAGGTATTTGTGAACATCAAAATACACATGCAGCTCAAGAAAAAAAGTATATCACAGTTCAATTCTGCACATCCCTTTTTGAGCATCTAACAGGTCTGGATTTCTATTGCATAAACTTTACATAGATCCCTTCTAATCTAATCTCCCTTGCTGTATTATGCTGTATTGATTAATTAGTTTTTATGGAGCAGTCAAGTAATTTCGTTGTCCCCGAAGGGGGCAATGACAATAAAGATATTATTATTATTATTATTATTATTATTATTCTCAACTTCAGTTCTTGCAGATTCAATGTATCTTACAATGTATCTTACAATGCTTCTGCTATGAAAATAGAAGCCATGTTTTATCAACAGGTAACACATATTTATGAAGCACCACAACTAAAAACAAATGCCAGCACACATTGCCACGATAAGTCAACGCTGCACAGTCACATCTGAATTGCAGCCAGAGGATGGGGAACACACATATCACTACTCTGCTCCACACTCTGCAACATTATGGAAAAATTGATCGTGAATACTGAATGCAAGCAACAAGAAATACACAACAGGATCACTGAGCAGAAGACAAAATGGTGATGAGAAATGGACACAGTGTTATCTTCTCCACTTTGCAGAACATGAACAACTACTAAAAACTCCAATTCTACAACTGCAACAATGCCATTCTGCACCACAAACCATGCACACAACTTAAGGCATATGAAGATCTCACAGCAGCTCATAAAAAACAAACTACCACCATAAAAATAACACAGTGAGTAAAAAAAAGTTCCATAGACAAACCACCACAAGCCCCTGGGAGGCTTCAGAAAAAGAAGGAAGGACAGCATACATTACCATGAGAGGACCAAGTACTCCACCCCATAGATACAACCAACCCAAAAGGCATCTCTACTATCCCTTGTACAAGAAGCATCAAAGAACCTAAGTTTGGACTTTCAAAAAGGACTGCGGAAAGCGCAGATGGAGAAGTGAAACTACTAATAGCAATCACCTTGAGAATGTGAACATACATTAACACTTGAGAAGGAGGGGATACTTGGTTAAAGGCGCCCAAAACACATGTTTTATACTTAAAACACGCATCTAATATGTTCACAATGCAACACAGAAGTGCAGCGATCAGTAACCCAGTGAACCCACTGAATTAAGCAGAGGGAAGATTCTAAAGAAATGGCTAAGCAGTCATTCTGCCAGTACTTCTGGTATTACTGACCATATGCCCAATAAAACATGCAGTGTTGTTCATTCAGCAACCAAGAATTAACAGCAGGGGTCCACTATGCCATGAAGGCAGCAACTTTAGAAAACTAATGAAGAGACCTGGTCTGAATAGAGACATTGGATTCTTATCTCATTATACATGATAAAGCTATTTTTGGCCATCTCATCCCTTGCTTTTTCCTGTAAGACCAACAGGTTTACCACACCTATCAGCCAATCACCCATTCCCACCACCCTTCTGAGTAATGCCCCTCTCCACCCTCTCACTATATATAAAGGTCTGGTGACTTCTGTTTCATTGTATCTGAAGACGTGTGCATGCACACAAAAACTCATACCAAGAACAAACTTAGTTGGTCTCTAAGGTGCTACTGGACCTTACAGGGCTACCTACCTGAATCTAGAACCTTTAGAAAACGATAGCCATGTACAAGAAATTAACCAAAAGACTATACAAGTGGACAGCAGTGGAAAGATGAGGAAGAAAGGGACTAATGGTGTAAGGAGTCAATAATACTGTGTTGGATCACTTGTTAAATCCAAACATATTGACCAGCATAGCTCCCTCCAGTGTCTTCAAGATTTGTCTCCAGACACACACGAACCTGAGGCCTTAAGCTACATGCTTTACCCACAGAGCTATGGTTTGAAGGTGGACAACATCACCCAAAACCTCAGGGATCCAGGAATAAGCTGAGGGTGTTTAGGAAGTCTCCAAATGAGAAACAGGATTCTAATCCCAATGACTACTGAATTTATTCATTTGAGTTGACAACACTTACTTGTCAGACTGCCTGCTACAGTTAAGAATAACCCTTGTCAGAGAAGGAAGGGGTTTTATTTTTTAAAATTTTAAGGTCTGATTATTTCTTCAAGCAGTTAATATGACACAAATTAGTATGTAGTATGTGCAAACAGACAGGCTAGCAAGAATTCATGTGATTAGTAATGTGTGTATCAGATTTATAAGGAAAGGCTAACTTCATCCTTGCTTCTGTATTACTCAATTTAAAATAAATATAAGATTATTCTATTTTTTTAAAAAATCAATGCAATGTCTATCAGGAGCCAGATTAGATCCCAATACTGCATCAGCCACTGACTAACCCTTCACTTTAGTCTCACTATTTTTTCTTGAAAGACTGTGCCTCCTCCTTCTCATTCATTCTCTAACACACACACACACACACACACACACACACACACTTTTACAATGTAGAAATAATGTATTTTAATGTAGGTATCCACAAATGTCACTGTAACAAAAATTAAACTGGGCTCAACTTCAAATCCAGAGTGAGCATGGGACAAACTTTACTTCAGCAAGCCTACCCAGACATATAATTTAGTTATCTATGTGTGTTTAACAACTTCTTGTTTATTTTATCTGTTTTGCTGATAATTTTATTATGTACATCACAGAGTTTTCTTCTTATTAAGCAATGCAAAAATCGTCCTTAATAAGAAATAAATGGCATCAATTACGAAGAATAGAATTTGGACTTTCGTCCTTCATTTATTATTGTAAAACTCTAACCTATGGTTTCAGTCCTGGTCACTGGCTACGATTGGGAATTATCTAACTGGCTGTCTGCAATGGCACCAAGGCATCCCAACCAGTGTCTTCTCTATGGTGTTGCTAGAACTGTTTCATTGCAACATGAATGATTGAGAACTTATGCAGATAGGTGTGTTACAGGTCAATTTTGCTTAACACTATTTTAATTCTGCTATTTCATACTGGTAGAGCTGGGCACTGCTGGCTGAATATGTGGTAACTGTTTTGCTTGTAATAAGAGTCCATGTACCAGTAATCTGCTTAGTTAGACTACAGAATTTGGCTGTTGACTTAGAAAGTGAAACATACAAGCAATTTCATTCAGCGTTTTTATGTTCAACATGGATATAACTTTGGGAATGCAGAACAGTTAATTCATTAACACTACAGTATTTAAAATTAAGTTACACTGATCTAAAGCAGGGATGGAGAAACTGAGCCCTCCATATACTGCTGGAGCACAACTCTCATTATCCCCAACCATGCTGGCTGCGACTGAGAAGAGCTGGAGTCCAAATTCTTAAAAGCACTTCAATTCTGTACTGAAAGAAGAGTTAAATAACCGTAGGCGTATTGATTCCTCTTTAAGAAGTCCACTCCTATGATTCCTCACCTCACCTCTTCTTTCAGCGTCAAGTCAAAGCACTTTAGGAATTTGTGAAAAGTGAACTTTACAAACATGACCTCAAATCATGTTGTGCCGTTATAAAAGTCTGCTGTTGTACTGGTAACTAGGAGCCTAGAGGCATTTCTGGCTTCATAACTTTTTTTGGGGGGGGAGCCAACAAATAAAAAAAAATCCAGGACTTCATACTTGTTTATTTTTTTAAAAAAATAAGGTGATTATACATAAACTTTACTTTCCAAAGACACTGCTGCCTTCCATGTGCCTTTGTGCCTCATTCAAGTATTAACAACACTGGAAAACATAAGCACTCGAGAGCTATCTCTCCAGGGATATCACTCACATGCTGCAATGGATGTATAAAGAACATTCCAACTGTAGTAGTTTAGCATGCAAGTAAAGCCAAAGATTGACTTTAAAACAAGTCATTTATTGTTCACTAAACATTTCCAGCTTATTGATCTAAACTACTAGCATATTAAAAATATTCAGGACCATGCCAAAACTGGCATTGGATGAGAAACTGTTAGAATGTCAAAAATACTTTAAAAGCTTCTGTGAGCCAATAGTACCCACTCAGAAAAGAGGCAGACCACTGCAACTCTGCATAATTTACTGGTTTGGCCTTATGCCCTTGTAATAAAGACTTCACCAGGCACTGAAAATTTTGGGTGTGATTATCATTCAGTCACTCCTGCTGAGAAACAAAGCAGAACTACCTGCCCTTGGATGTTGCAGCTAGCTGTGCCTGTCCTGTATGAGTCACTGTTCTGGCCCTGCTTGCTTTCAGTCAGGGAGGCATGGCCAGATCACTCACTCAAATAAACACACAAGATGAACAGTTCTTTAAGTGGATAATTCTTATTCCAATATACTATGAAAGTGTGGTTTGGGGAGTGTACAAATGATGGCACAATTCAAATTTTAGCTCATAAAAAGTGTGTCCTAACTATTAGAAGTTTGAGAAATATTGATTTAGACACAACCAGTAAAACCACTGAAGGCTAAATGATCAAAGTTCTCACAGATTTCTCTCTCACACATTTTACAAGCAGCTATGTGAAGGAGTGAAATTGCTAGAAAAGATGTTCAAGCTCTCACTTCTGTACTGTTTTCCTGATCTACAACTCTTCACCCACCTGCTACTTGGCCTGAAAAGGGTGGGCAGTAAAATATATCCTGGAGGCATCTTAAATGCTACTTTGAACTTCCTCCCCAAAAAAACCCAGATCTGAGTGTCTCTTCTAGTTTAGCCTGACTTGTTTTAAAGCAAGCACTCCTTCAATCAAGAGTAGAAAACAAAGCCCACCTAAAACTGACAAGCAGAATGACACGCAGGACAGAAAAAAACAAATTCTGCAACCAAAGTGATATATGAACGTACAATAATTGTTCCATAAAACAGCACGCTAGTCCACAAAGTTGCCACTGCCTAACAGAACTCTATTTAAAACTAACATTCTGCTCTGAAATTCCACATTACCAGAACTCGGACACAAAGAGCAGATTACTGTATGCATATACTGACTGAGACTACAACCACAAAGCAGCTTTTATTAGTTATGTTCCAAGCAAAAGATAAAAGCTTAAGGAAGTTGTGGGGCTTCCCTGAATAAAGCCTGCTTACAGTTGCTCAATATCTGCTCAGCCCCATTGTGTATGTGAAGCGAGACTGCATGGAATAGAGCGCCCCCATCTCCTACAGGCCTGCCTGCCTCTCGCAAGCAGTTCCTGCTCGCTCCTCCCCTCCCTGTTCTCTCGCTTTCCCCGCACAACATCCATGACGTACCTTTATTTCTAGCATAGTGACTCTAGGGCTCTCGCATTAGTAGGATTATTATTATTTACCCTAACTCGGGGACCCCAGATTTCTGACTTCGGAGGCACCATCTGCTTTCTTATAAACAACACACACCGCCACGTCCAGGAAGCAAAAACCGGGAGCTTAAAAACTGGCCCCTATTTTTTTTTTTAAGTTGCTTTAAAAAAAAATTGCGGGAAATTCAATTTTTAAAGGGCTGCTCACAAACTTTCCCTAGTACATCACATCGCAACCACGCCGACCGGCCGCTTCTCTTACTAGGCTCTCGTAGCTCCTGGGATGCTCCTTCCCCGTCCAGTCCGTGCGCTTAGGAAGCAACTGGGGGGAGAAAAAAAGACACACACCCCCGGTCACCGAGGGCTACTAGCCGCCCCCCCACCCCACCCCCCTCCCGACGCCCCAGCAGCGCCCGCCCGCCCGGGATGGCGGAGGAAAGGGGAGGGGAGGAGGCGAGGCCGTTGCAGCCGCCGGCGCTGAGGCGGATGGAGAGCGCCGGGCTGGAAGGCGCTCGCAGCGCTTACCTCCTTCTCGGCGACTTCTCGGATCAGGACCTGCGGGAGCAACAAAAGAGGAGCGGAAGGAGGGCCGTCAGAAACCGGAGGAAGAGGCGGCGGCAGCCCACCCCGCAGGCCCAGACCCCGGCGCCAGCGCGCTTACCTGAGCCGCTTCCTCGCAGGGTCCGTTCTCCAGAAAGCGGGCGATGAGGAAATAGAGCTCTGCAGGGGGGGTGGGAAGAAGGGCGAAAACGGGGGGGTTGAGAAAGGCGAACACGCGCCGTGAGGGGGGGGGAGAGAAACACGGCCTTGGAGGAGGAGGCGGCAGCAGCCCGGCCCCTCACTTACCCGCTCGCAGCTCCGCCGAGTGCCTGCCGCTGTTGTTGCTCCCGCCGCCGCCGCCGTCCCCGGACATGGCGAGCGAGAGGAGCCCGGCTGGCTGAGGCCGAGCTCCCCCGGCGGCGGGGCCCTGCGAGCCGAAGACGACGACGGCGCTCGCCCGGGAGCTGTCACTGTTTGTTCGGCGGCAACAGCCGCAGCAGCGAGGCGCTCGGCTCCACCATTCAAGCCCCGGGCGGCAGTAGCAGCGGCGGCGGCAGCAGGAGGAGGAAACAACAACTCGCACCAAAACCCGCCGCCAACCCAAGCGCTGCTGCTGCTGCTGCTGCTGCCTCTCTCGTCAGCCAGCCAGCCAGCCAGCTTCGGGCGCGAGCGAGAGAGAGAGCGGGCGGGGTAGAGAACGCGATCCCTCCGCCGAGACAAAGAGTCCCAGCCCCCCTCCCCTCAGGGCGGGCGCGCGCACACACAAACACGCACACGCCCCCCCCTCCTCAACCCCCTTCACTCCCTTTCCTTCAGGTCGCCTTCCCCGGGGTTGGGTGGTGGTGGTATTGCGCTCCCCGCCCTAGAGAGCCCTGCCTCTCTTTTCCCCCTCCTCCTCCCCCTCCCCACACAAAACAACGCGCTCGAGCTGAAGCTCGCTCCGGACTAGTGGGGGGAAAGCCGAGCGAAGATGTCGGAGCGAGCGGGCAGAGGCGGGGTGTGGATGGGTGGGCGGGCAGCTTCGGCTGAAAGGCGCTTTCTCTGTAAGAGAAGGGCTGGGAGGCCTCGGCGGCGGAGGGATACGGCGCGCGCGGAGGCGGGAGGAGCGATGGAAGCGGGGGGGGGTTGTGCGCGAGAGAGAGCGAGAGGCGCTTTGGCGGCGGTGGCGCTGGAAGTTGCTCAGTTTCAATGTAGCCGAACTAGGAACCGAATGAGGCAAAAAAAAATGCCCCCAGGGACCGCAGGCCCCACTGGGCGAGGCGGGCGTGAGAGGCTCTTCTCGGCCCTCGCCGTGCCAGGGCCTGCTGGGGGAGGGGGGTGAGCAGGTCGGGCCCGTCCTCTCCAGGCTTTCTCTCTTCTTCCACATGCCTCCTTGTCGCCTTTAAATGCTACAGATTCCCATCTGCTTGTAAGTTGCAATGTCATGCGTGGTTTTGGTTTGTTTTTTTCCTCTTTCCTAAGTGTTACTCATTAGGGGTGGGCGAGCGTGTTTATATGTATGTGTGTGTAAGGAAGAAATAAAAATGTATATATATTTTTCATACGCCTTGTCTCTACAGCTTTTCCTTTGTTATTGACTCTCTCCCTCTGGCTTAAAAGAGGAGCATGAAGTGACTTCCTGGTGTTATTAAAAGGTGCAATGTCAACATTTGCGTTTGCCCTGGTTTATTACTTAGATAGTGGGAGACGGCGGGTTAAGACAGCAATATTATTATGAAAGCAGACAAGTGAAAAGGATGAAAATGGATGCAACCTATGGCTGGACTTGAGGTAATTTACAGCTGGATCGATAACATACAGAAGGGTTATCGCATGATTAATGGTTACATTTACATTTTGTGTTTCATGCTGTATTTAGGTAATGAACAGGGCTCACCTGCCTAAAGTGTTTATTTCCATCTTAGGGAACTGTCTTTAGAGGCATGATGTGTTACAGTTTGAATTTTATCAGAGTAAACAGTGATTAGCATTTGTTATGTAATATATCAATGTTTTGGGATTGAAAGTTGGGCATTGGGCAATTTTTGTATTCCAAAAAAGAAAGAAAAAGCGGCCATTTAAGCAATTAGTGCAAATCAGTTAAAAACTGCTCATCAAATACAGTAAAGCTACAGTGATATGTTCTAGAGATGCTCGAACTATGTTAACCTAAATGATTTCCTCTCTCTGAAGTTGCAGCTTTGAACGAAAATAAGGTATGTAGTTTTCAAGTAAATAATTATATAATATGTTGTATTAATGATTTTATAAGTGTCAAGTTATTAAGGCCCCAGCTCACAAAAGAGGCTGCATATATGCTTATTTCAGCACAAAACTGGAACTGTAGTAAGACTGCAATCCTACACCAACTTACCCTGAAATAAGCCCTATTAAACTCGGTGGGTCTTCCATCTGAGTAAACTTGAATATGATTGCATTGCAAGAGCAATTGCTACAGTAGTCTTTTGCATCATATCACAAAAAAGAGAAAGCATATATCTGGAAAATGTATGAAGGTATGATTTGCAGTAAGTCCCACACTGCTGTTAGTTATTTCTGGAATTAGAAAAATTGATATCTAGAAGGGACACATGTCATCCTGAGATGAGTAACAAATTAATACAGGATTAATATTAAGTTAGAACTGAAGTGATTTTGTACTACAAGCTTTTCTGTTTTAGTATCTTCACCATTTCATTTTCCTACTATTTTTGTGGCCCCCATTTGAACCTGATACTTTTATTTTACATTATAGAATTGTATGAAGGTTTTAATTTAATCAATCTTTTAATAAAGTACTATATTTTTCAGTTACTCTGGAGCCTTATATTTAAGATGTAGAATGTGAATAAAGACCTTAATAGGCAGTGCTAATAAGATTTGCAAGTTTATCCTGCTCTTTTTATGCTTGCTTATATGTGTACAAATATAGCTAAGGTATTTATATGAATTACGATCTATTGATACTGGATCTGTATTTCAATGTTACTTACTCTGAAAGAAATTAGTTTTTAATTAGAAGAAGGATGATTGTGACTATAAAGGCTTTCCTTTTTTGTATTATATATCCCACAGTAATTCTGTTGATTGAATTCACATGCAAAAACACTGACATTTCTATTATCACCAGTATAGCACACTAAAAATACAAGCAGAGGGTGCAGTTCTATCATTTTAAAATTATTTCTCTTCAATAAGATCATTGGCTTTTGTTTTGCATGCAAGTTGTTTTTTCTTCTACATAAGTCTTAGAATTATTTTGGTATTGTACATTTAGAATAGAGGATGTTGAGATTTGTTCGTTCTTTTAATTGTAACAGCTTATTATCAGTGATATCTCAGCAGTGCATTGTGCTAAGTCCCAGTAATGTTATTGTTTTCTTTGCTAGAAAAATGTATTTCTGAAATCTCTCACACGGTCTCCAGTAGTATATTTTGAAATTCTTGCATTTGTGTCGAGTTGCATTATCCTTAAAGAGAAATATTTTAGTTCCACTGTCATTGAGATGTAATAGGTTCTTTGTGAACTGCTTCTGTTATAATGAGGTTTGTCTTACACAAGTAAGATTCCCCTTTTCAGAATAAAATAGCTATTTAAAATATGTAACGATGTAGTCTAACTAGTGACGTTATGGTTTTAATTTTACAAAATCCTGTTATAATTACAGGTGGTAGTAACATGGTTTTAATTTAACTTTCTGAAAATGAATGTTTGGCATTCCTTTCATTACTGTAGGGTTGCTGAGTTTCAGGAAACTTACAAAGATTTGTTTTCCCCATGGTAGATGCAACACCATATTTTACAGAGAAATTGAAAGACCTTTAGTAGCAGTTTATGAAACTCCTTCTTTAGAAAAATATTTGACAATAAAAATATTTGCTGTATTTAAAACAAATGTAGATAACACTGACTGTAGTATTTCTGGAATATTAGAAATAGATATAATTAACTGCATATCATTGTATATACATTTCTTTCAGCAAGACAGGAAATTGTGAGAAACATCAAGGGCATTGCCCCAAAGGAAAATGTTTTTATTAAGGCTGAGAAACACTTTGGGGGATGGATCCAAAGAAACATGAGCGGAACAACTATGCTTATTATTGTTTCATGAACTGTTTGAAAACTTCATGGAACAAAGTACCTGGAGGTACACCACAGTATGGAAACAAAGTATGGTCCATACTGTAGTGTATAAGCGCTGCATCTAGGCATATGATCAATTATAGGGAGATAGGGGGGCCCATGTTGTTTGAGAGGTGTTCCCCAGTACAAAGCAAGCTCTAAGAGCTAGGGTGCAAATATTTCTACATTGCAATATTCACTCTGCAATGCAGAACTCTTTGCACCCCAGCCATTCAGGTTTGCTTTGCAATGGGGAGCTTCTCACACCTTATCCATTAGGGCTTGCTTTCCAAATGTGTGATTTAAACATAAGCATTTCTGGAAGATTTGGAGCTAGATGCAAAGGTGCCCTTCCACATCTGCAAGGGCCTTTATTCTGCTAGAGGCTCTTGCAAATGTAAAGGGGGGAAATGTGATTTTCACCTACTTCTCCCTCCTTCTGCAGTCAACCTGAGCCACCTTCCATGCTTTTTGAAAGGTTTCACAATCCTCTGGAGCAGAGGTTTAAGGAATCCTTAAGAATCAAATTCCCCCTTCCATTCATAGAAGTCGAGAGCAACGCTCATGCTATCTCTAATGCCAACCAATGGAAACCAGAGAGATATAGCAAACTGTCTTTCACAAGTGGTTGTGCAGTGATTTGCACTAATTGTGTTGCACTTTCTTTCACATAATGCTATGTCAGAAATAGCCCTTCCATGAGCAGAAAATGCTTTCTGCTTGTGGAACAACACACTTGGATCTAAACATACTGTTATAATAAAATAGCAGGAAATACTTTATTTTCGAAAGGAAATAGCAATGTTTCTACATATTTATCATAACTAACATACTAGTGGAACACAGTATGAGTAAAGGACCTCTAATGAATATGGATTGATAAGTTATGCAGTACCATTTTCAGACCCACTTATAGTGCATTATCAATATATTTGCATAAATGTTTTTGCTGGCACACACCCTGTTGAGGAAAGTGGTGAAATGAGGAATGTTGTGAAAAGTTGTTTAAAATGACTATACAAATACATTTCTGCAAAAACCCAGAATCTCTTGCCTTGCCTGTTTTGTACTTTTCAACTTGTAGTTTTAGTAATGAGGAACAAGTACGATGGGCAAGTTGCCAGGGCTAATACACTGAGAATATGTGAGGGTAGATTCTTGAATTTGTTTGTTGCACAATCAAAGGCCTGAAACATAGTCATGGAATTAAAGTTATCCAAAATTGTCACATTCTATAGTGGGAAGTAGTGCTAAAAATATATGTGAGGGTTGATGCCTGTAGTTGAGATATCTTGCAAACATTTTTTTCAATGAACTTCATAGCCTTTTTAATATTTCTTACTCTGGCTCTCTTCCTATATGGTTATTTTTTACTATTTTGTCTCTCTTGTTAAATTTTACATACAAGTGTGCATCAAAGTATTCTAAACGCTAATTATGTAAACATTGTCCAGGATTAACATTTGCACATTTTCCCTTAGACATTTCATGTAATTTCAGTCCTAGAAGTTCAGTCATGACATGTGAGTATTGTGGATGGGGACTAGCAAAATAATCCTAACTACAGGAAGTTATGGCATTTAGGAGCCTCTGGGAGGGACTGTTGCCAACTAAACTGGCAGGTGAGTGTGGACATGAGTTTTGAGGAGTGGGCCCTAGGTGACATGACTGGGCTGAACAGATTTTGGAATAGGTTTCTGCTTGCTCTGTCTCCCAGATCATCCCTTTTGGGGGACTTATGTTGTTCTAAGTTCCACCACCTTATCTCCAGCCCAACCAGGGTGAGGGGCTTAGACCACCAAAGCCCCAGCTTAGAAAGAAAGTCTAGGATCTGCTTAATCTAAACACTCTCATCCCAGAGGATCTTAAGTTTGGCTCAGACTATTAATAAGCAAACCTGCATACTAGCAGTTCTAAATAGATACATATTATTTTTATTTATTATATTTTATTTACATGCTGCCTTTTGCCCAGTGCGGGACCCAAGACTTCTTACAGCATATATTAATACAGTTACAACTAAAAGACACAATAAATATAAATATTAAAAAACAAATAAATAACCGTATTAAAAACAGCACTAAAACAAAACTATTTAAAAACACACATGTCCAAAGTATTACACTCATCGCCTGAAAACCCTGCAACAACAGTCAGTTAATAGCTAAAGGCCTGTACCTTTGGAAAGTTGTAATTTTTAGTTCACAGTACTGCTTTCAATTGGTTTTTGTACCTAAATGCAGTTGCCTACCTCACTTCACTACAGTTACTTAATGACAATTACTGTCATGAAGCTAAACCAATCTGCTAAGAAGCTACAACACAACAGACTAGTGAGCTACCTAACGCTAATGTAGTTTCTGATGCTGTGTATCTATTTCAAAAATTAGGATTATTTCATAGAAGTCAAGGGCTTTGTTCACTAATTGAAAGAAAGCTTGAGTCAACTTACAACTTTCTACAACATTTACAGAAATGTTCCTCAAAGCTACAAATAAGATCTTTCTCAAAGATTGATCCTGATCTTCGCTTTCTGGTATCATCACCAAGCAAGCCTCAAGGTAATAGAAGGGAAAACAACATTTGAGGTGTCAACAGCTCAGAACCAGTGCCCTGATACAAAGGTGGTGTGGGGAGGGGGAGTCCCCCAAATTGGCTCTTTGGTGGACAGGAGGACTGGATTAAGCACCCTCTGTCTCTTTCTAAACAGCTGATCAGCTAAATGTTACATTTTTGAAGTGTTACCTTACCCATGTGCAGTCCCTAAGCTGTAGAATGTGAGAGGATAACTCAGTAGTGTTAATTTTTATACACACAAATGAATCTGCTACGAATCTGTAGAGAGTGAGGAAACAATTCTTGGAAGATGGGTTCCACATGGATTGAGGGGTTAGTCAGGGCACTGATCTTAATACACAGCCTTGTGTTTAATATGTTGCATCTTTCAAGACATTGGTCAGATGAGTGACTTGCCCTGTAGAACAGTTTAACAATAATATGTGGTGGTATGGAGTGGAATGGCATGATATTTCATTCTCCTTTTACAAATGTCATCAGTTGCTACTATCTAAAATCAATAATAAGCCCATGGGGAGAAGTTACATAGAAGTGTATGCCTACTGTATACTACACAGTTATTCAAGTCTAAGCCTCCTTACGTTAGATATTTCATTTTAAGATACATCACTAGCATCATCTTAAACTACCATTTGCTGGCAGCGTTCAAGCTATTTCTTAAGTTGATGAAGTTTATGAAGCCAGGAATGAGAATTTGGATCAAATGTTCTTCCATTCACACAGCAGCTTCATTCTTGGCTTGCTGTAAGCCCAAGTTCCCATTATATCTGAACAGGATGATTCTGGTTTACTGTCAGTTAACAAGCCAAGATAATGAGCCAGGATTTGAGGGGTGAGGCAGAGAAGGAGCACTTGTTCCCAGAATCATAAACCTTGGTCATCCAAAACCTTGCCGTTGTGTATCTTTCCAACATATGCCATTCCTTTTTAAATTCTGTAAATAACCATATATCTAGTCTCCTATGGTTATTAAGAATCCTCTGGGTATCGGATGGGCAGCTTTCTGGAGAAAGGTTTAAACAGTGTTATGGTGTGCATGGAATGTTGCAAGTTCAATCCCTAACCTTTCCAGTTAAAGTCTCAGGTAACAGCATTCAAAAAGACCCATCCATTGTCACATTAGGCTGCCTAGAGCTAGCGGGACCTATAACCTGGCTTCAGAATATAACAAGAGTCCTTTGGTATCAGACCAAAACCACCTTGTCCAGCACCCTGTTCTCACTGTAACCAACCAGATAACTAGGGAAAGCCCATAAGCAGGAGGACATGAGTGCAACAGCACTCTTCCCTCTTGTGTTCCCAGCAACTTGGATTCAGACACATACTGCCTCTGACACTGGGGGTAGTACATAGCCATTATGACTAGCAGCCTTTGATAGTCTTATGCATGAATTTTAAAGTCCTCCAAGTTAGTGGCCACCACTACATGTTGTGAAATAAATTTCCGTAGTTTTAATTACATGCTGTGTGAGGAAATGCCTCCTTTTGCACATTCATCTTCATTTGATGAGCCCTAGTTCTAGTAGGGACGCGGGTGGCGCTGTGGGTTAAACCACTGAGCCTAGGGCTTGCCGATCAGAAGGTTGGCGGTTCGAATCCCTGCGACAGAGTGAGTGCCTGTTTCTCGATCCCTGCTCCTGCTAACCTACCAGTTCGAAAGCACTTCAAAGTGCAAGTAGATAAATAGGTATCGCTCCGGTGGGAAGGTAAACGGCGTTTCCGTGTGCTGCTCTGGTTCGCCAGAAGCGGCTTAGTCATGCTGGCCACATGACCCTGAAGCTGTATGCCGGCTCCCTCGGCCAATAAAGCGAGATGAGCGCCGCAACCCCAGAGTCGTCCACGACTGGACCTAATGGTCAGGGGTCCCTTTACCTTTACGTAGTTCTAGTATTAGGAGAAGAAGAAAACATTCACATTCTACTTTCTGCCAGTGTGTATAATTTTATATGCCTCTATTTTACTTGCCTTTTTCAGATTTAAAAGCCCCAAAGACTTTGTATAAGGCAGCATCATATATATTCATAAAAGCTTGATAAGGCCGCAAACTACTACCAACTGAGTTTAGGCACACAAGATTAGTAAAGTTTTCTGTGGACATAATGCAAGCCTTTCCTGATGCGAAAGCACTTTTTTCTGAAGCATCACATTGCTAGGAAGCAACTTAATTAAGGAAGAATGGAATAATGTTTTACTGCAGATTTCCTTTATCAAAGTTATAACAATATCTTTCAAGAATGATTAATTCGGTGACTCGGAAGGTCTACTGATTGTTCCTTTATTTGTAGGTATTTTAATGTAGTTCAATGTTTATATTTCTATCTACAATTGATACTAAATCAAGTATTTATAAAACTAATATGAACTGGTTATATCTAACAGAAGTTCTTTGAAAGCCATTAAGAATTCAAATATATTTCTAAAGCTTTTATCGCATATTTATTGTTTTTGCATTCACTAAATGAGCTACTTCCAAATCAGTTATTCACTATGCATTCAAGTATAGTTTCCTTACATCATATGTCTGTTTAATGTACATGTAAAACACATAATGTACAAACACATTCCATTTGTCACAATAAGATATATGGGGGAAAGATCAATTATTCCTACTTGGTTAGAACAGTATATTGTCTGCTTTCACAGTCTTGTCTCTTGGGAATTGGCTCTTGCAGCTGTTGAATTGTTTTGCTTACATATTATAAGTGGAGCTATCTACCGATTTTAAACCTTTTAGTCGATTAATCATCGTGACTTTCAACAAAATAATTTAAATTTAAATTTCAAATTGATATAAATGAAGGGGCCTTTTTGAGATATTGAAGGAACTATGAGAGCACACAGTGGATTAAGGAAAAGCTGACGTTCATTTTTGATCACTCAGAATATCCTTTTTCATTCTCTGTTACAGTTACACTAGAACCAAAATAGCTTTAAAAAGAACTGTGTGTTTAAGACTCAGCCTCGCTGTTTAACATTTGCACCTACTGATTAATATAGTAAAAATTCAGCATATTAATTGCCAATTAAATATTTAAGTGGTGGTGGGCAAAGTAAACACATATATTGATGTGACAAACTACCACAAAGCAAGTACGGTCAGCATCTCATGTGAGTGAAATAAAGCAAGGAAATTATGAAAATTTCTGATGGGCTGCTCACACATTTTTAATGTGCACATATGTGCATGCGATGTATGTGAACTTACAAGGCTGGCTACACTTCCGGATACAGTGTCTGTGCAGTAATGCGCAGCAGCCAATTTTGCTTGCATGTGAAGGGGTCCTGAGCAGCTATGCCTCCTGCTAATATGTAACATCCTTGATTAGTTATTAGTCAAAATGCAGCACTTATACACAGCCCAACAAGACAACAGTCGGGAAACTGCAGTTAGTGCAGAATGCAATGGCTAGCTTTCTAATTGGGGCAATTTATTGCAAATTTGCGACACCATTTTTTAATTTTTTTAAAAATTGAACTGGTTTTAGCATGCTACTGGGCCAGGTTTAATTTTTTGATATTTATCTATAAAGCCGTAAGCAACTTCTGACCAGGTTCTCTAAGGGAATGCCTTCTCCCCTTAGATTGTCAAATGAGGCCCTCCTGTTTGTTCCACAGTCAGTGGAGGTCTATTTGCAACAAGAAAGAGGTGGATGTTTTCTGTTATTGCACATGGTTTATAGAAAAGCTCCCATTCTGAGATAAGGCAAACGTCTACTTTTCCTTCATTACTGGCACTTGCTGAATGACTACTTCCTATTCTAGGCTTTGCCTGGCAATTAATACCAGCATATTGAGCCTTTCCTGACTTTGTTCCTGCTGCATTTACTGTGATTTTTTATTATTATTATTATTATTATTATTATTACTACTACTACTACTATTATTATTATTATTATTGGTAAAAAAGGATTTTAAAACAAATAAATTATTGTTGGTATCCTGGAGGAAGCCAAACATTTTTATGAAAAAGTTGGGGTATAAATTCCTAAAATAATAAATTAATTAATACATCTTTTGTGGGATGGATACTGGGTTTTCATAGTAGAAAGCACTTCCCTGCCCCTCCCCACGTGCACACACACACACAAAGCACAACACACTTCTATCTGCATAGATGAATAAACGGTACTCTTTTTTAAAATATGCATACCTCTATGGTCTGCTTTCCGAAGATCCAAGTGTAGTTGTTTGTTTAATTTGATAATCAGTTGTTGTATTTCTTAGTATTTCAGCTGCAGACAACAACTAGTGAGTGGTAGGTGATAGGGGCAGCAGCAAACAGGCCTGGTGTCAGTACCTGGACCAGCATGGTGCTGATGCTGACTGTTGCAATATCCTTTCTTTTTAATGCCATATTTATGTGACTCTAATGTGCACCTCAATTTTCAAAACCTTGAAACCAAAGAAGTATTTACTAGCAAATGTAAATGCACCATCAAATCTA